GGTGTGTTGGAGAGCCAAGCCACAACATTTACAATCTGAGTACGACGTTTCGCCAGTAATTACAACTAGCTTCATCAGGCGACAGCCAGAATTGGCATGTTCCGTTTACGTGACAACCCTTACTAGTTGGCTGTGTCGGGTGGTGGCGGGTTTGAACGACACAACATTTATATATTTACGCGATCTAACCCAAAAAAACCCCCTCTATTATGGATGATATTGGTCGCGAAAGTCTACTTCGTTGGTGGGAATCGGATAGTCCGGCCAATGTTAGCGTTGAGGCTTGCGAGTGACGAGTGGACGTCGTCAAGATCGTGTGTGTCAGTGAAAGCAGGTGCCTCCACAATGATCGTCTCCGAAGTCCTGCACTGCAGTATTATAAGACGCATCCTGCCCCTGTAGTTTAAAGCAAATGTTGGGGTGTGAGTCTTATAATCCTGTACATGTGCGTGTGTGTGTGACCAGATGTGTGTAACTTTATACTGGTAGGAACGAAGTTGGAAACTGAGTGTACCAGCCTCCAATAGATTAATGTGTCCGCCCGTCCGTCCCCTTTCAATACTTTAACGAAGTGAAATCTCGTGCTGTTGGGTGTAAAATCAGCAATAGACAGCGCAGAGACTTGTCCTACCAGCCCACCCTGCAGGGACCTGTTTGATAGCGGCCACACGGTTGGGGTGCGTCTTATTTTCCGGAACGTCTTATAATTCGGAGGACGTCACTTTAAAGCTTGTTATACAGTATATACGATGCAGTGAATCATAAGTGTTTTCCGTTATATTTACGCGATCAAGAGTAAATAAATGACAAATAAAATAACGAGAAAAACAAAGCAGCGACGTCGTGTCTAGAATGTGCAGACCCTCTTCGACAGCTGAAAGCGATAATTATAATTCACCACTCCACCGCTAGCATCTACAGACCCTGAGCTAGAGTTGCAGTGTAAACCTATGCGGAGCGTAGTAAATCAATGAATGCATCGCTACATAATTATTTGGTTCTTTCGGTAAAGTCACGTAGATAGAAAAATAATACGAAAAAATAAAGTGAATAAAAATTATGAAAATTTAAAATAATAAACCACTGTTATAGATTTGAAGCTTTCGTGACTGCAAGGGTCCATACTCTTTGGTTCTATTCGGTAAAGTCACGTAGGTAAAAAAATAAAACAACAAAAATCACGACGTTTCGGCCACAACACAAGTGGCCTTCATCAGGTGAAGGGACCAGACTGTCTCGAGGACAGCGCTCGAGGGAACACAGCCAAGCTCAGACCGCGACCTTTAAGCTTGTGTGAGAGAAATTAAGGTGCCTTGACAAAGGAATTAGCATAAAAATTAGCATTCAATTGGCGGACTTAGCATAGTGAACGGTGTAGAGGGGGTGAACATGTGCAGACCGGCGAAAATTAGTTTAATGTTTGGTTCTATTTAGAACATCTTTCCAATGGTTGCTTAATTTGAAACCATCTTCTCGGTTGAAATTGTGTCTGTGTTTGTAAATCTGAATTGCCTCGTGAACACATCTCTGATAAAAAAAAAAACCCGTGGGTTTGCAAAGAACCTTGGTATCGGAGAAAATTATATCGTGATCACCCACAGCGTTGTAACAGTGATCAGCCACGGCAGAAGAATTCGTTCTGGCGTGTTTCAAATCTGATTTGTGCTCGCGAATTCGGTCAGAGACATGTCGTTTCGTCTCCCCAATATAGCAGTCACCACAGGTGCAGATCAATCTGTAAACTCCGGGGTACTGTAAGTCAGGAATAACAACGCTTATATCTACGTAACTTTACCGAAAGAACCAAAGAATATGAATTCCTGCAGTCACGAAAGTTTAAAGTCATTGCTACACATCCAACAGTTCCATGCGCGCACACCGCGACTCCCCCAAACCCGAGCGACCGATCGGTTGCGCAACCCGGTCGCATGCAACTGCATCGCTTTTAAAAGTCAAGCAACCTTTCAAAATAGCACTGCAAAAGCTGAACAACGTGGCGAGTTTAAGTCACTTTACGCAAGCAATTCTTATCGTTCAACTTTCACTGAGCAACGCGACACCCGTCGCAGAATTATTTGCCCGCTGTTTTTTGCGTTTCATTTTAAGCAAGATATTGAAGTTGTCACGCGTGTTGTTTTTTTCTTCCGTACACTAAACTTACAATAAGCCGTCGGTTACCTGTGTCTGGACACACGCCTCGAATCCCGTGCCGTGCACATGGGGTTGGCGTGTCACGGAGAGACGGCACCAGCATGTACGTCACGTGTCGTGGCATAGCACCGAGTTGAAAGCTGCTAGCACCACAGAGCCGCACCGACTCCGCTCAAGCAACCCCACGCTTTTATCATTATCATGCGCTTACATCGGAAACGAATGCCACGCCGACGTTTCAGGCAATGCCCCTTATTCAGAGCAGAACTTTGGTGAGTTTATTAAAAAAAATTTGAAACGATAAAAACCTCAAGCTCCGTCTATCGTTCGCTTCAAACGATCAAATCATCAGCAGTTGGTTATCCAAAGCAAGGCAGCCAGCGAAGGCCCCCTCGAGTGAGTCGCACGTTGGGACGACCTCGCGATGTGACGCGAATCGACTTTCAAGTCTGCGCATTTCCTTCGGCGTGAGCTGCTTACTTTGTTCCGTCAAAAGTTTGTGAGGCGGGAGAGCCAAGGGCCTCTGAGTCGGAGCAACGTGAACAGCGTGAGCTGTGTTCGGGGGGGGGGGGGGGGGGGGGGGGGAACAGGGCCAGCGATTTACGCGCAGTCTCCAGCGATATTTAATTGGCTCTGCACACACGCGCGCGCACGCACACACGATCCTGGGGAATTTCCACACTTGCGTAACTGTTACGCTGTGTGCACTGCGAGGACAAGCAGCAACGCCTCAAGAACGCTTTGCAGTTGATCTGCAGAACATGCAATGCAAGGGTGTGAGAGAGAGAGAAGAGAGACTCGTTCGAATTAATTGTACAAGATTATTATCCCGCACTGGGAAATGCAGGAGTGCGTGCAAGATGCGCAGTGGAACTGGCGCCTTACATTGCAGCGGTAGGGCACGCTCTTGCAAAAGGACACGTGGAGTATGAATTTCCACCACCATCACCACCACCTACGTGGCCACAGTGTACCAGACATTCTTAATAACCCAGATATATTTTTCAGTGCCTTGAACGGTGGCGGTTAACCTGGGGCGTACGCAGCCCCTGGTGGTGCGAGATTCCCTTTCTGGGTGTGCGAGACACGGCCAGATTCTTTTTAACGAGGTAAAATAATCGAAAACACAAATTAAGCACGGACACGTAAGTACAACTACTTTCTTGATTTTTAACAGCTCTCTCGCAGGTTCAGCAGTTCAACTGCTGGATTATTTTTTTTCCACCTGAGGACGACCACTTGCGTTGCGATCGAAACATCGTGATTTATTTCATTTTTGTTTTATTTTATTTATTTTTCTACCTACGCGACTTTACCGAAAGAACCAAAGAGGACTACTACTTTGTTTCATTAAACCCTCCGTATTTATTCACGTAATTTTTTTTTAACGATTAACAACCAAAGGGGTGCAAGGCTGCAGTAAAGGTTAAGAACCACTGCCCATAGACTAACATTGCACATAGACTAACATTGCACATAGACTAACATTGCCCATAGTCTAACACTGCCCATAGACTAACATTACCCATACACTAACATTACCCATAGACTAACATTGCACATAGACTAACATTGCACATAGACTAACATTGCCTATAGACTAACATTGCCCATAGTCTAACACTGCCCATAGACTAACACTGCCCATAGACTAACATTGCACATAGACTAACATTGCCCATAGACTAACATTGCACATAGACTAACATTGCCCATAGACTAACATTGCCCATAGACCCACATTGCCCATAGACTAACATTGCCCATAGACTAACATTGCACATAGACTAACATTGCCCATAGACTAACATTGCCCATAGACTAACATTGCACATAGACCAACATTGCACATAGACTAACATTGCCCATAGACTAACATTGCCTATAGACTAACATTACCCATAGACTAACGTTGCCCATAGACTAACATTACCCATAGACTAACATTGCACATAGACTAACATTGCCCATAGACTAATATTGCACATAGACTAGCATTGCACATATACTAACATTGCACATATACTAACATTGCCCATAGACTAGCATTGCACATAGACTAGCATTGTACATCGACTAACATTGCCCATAGACTAACATTGCCCATAGACTAACATTGCCCATCTACTAACATTGCCCATAGACTAACATTGCCCATAGACTAACATTGCCCATAGACTAACATTGCACATAGACTAACATTGCCCATAGACTAACATTGCCCATAGTTCACATTTTTGTTTGAAGCACCCTCTACATATGAAGCACCTGGAAATATTTAGATTCATACCATAATTACAACCATACGTTCTAGTTCTCGGAGAGAGCGTTGTTCGCGTGTCTGGGACATCTCCGCCGGGCAGTGCCAGCTGACCCTCTTCGTCGTCAATCCTCCGCCGTGAGTCTACGACTGTCCACTCGTAGACTCACGGCGGCGACTTTGATGACATCACCTTGCCGCCTGACCACCTTGCGGTTTGCACCGATCTCCGGGCGGCGTCTGTGGAGCCCACAGCCGCACCTGTGCCGTGTGCTGCTGGGACAGAGGCGCGACAAAAGGGGCGTGCCTCCAGGAGGGAACCACCCAGCTCACAGGTGGGGTGCGCGAGGAGGTGTGGGCAGGTAGAGGCGGGCACCTAGGTGTGGAAGCATAGCTCAGGTCTCCGTCGCCGGGACGAGAGGCGTCACGGGCACACGGGGCTGCAAGGTGTGGAGGGCGGGGGGGGGGCACGAGTTCAAGTTTCGTTTGTCCTACCGCCGCACCTGACGATTAGCACGGTTGGTTGGTTGGCTGCGTACGGTGCGAAAGAAGTTCAACCGCGCGCACACACGCGCACGTCGGCGAAAGGATGCCTCTACCTCCGACTCTGCGCAAAAGGATGGCCCCTGGCGTGTCCGACCCGCTCCGCGACTCGCTGCTCCAGGAGCTGGAGGACTACCTCAAGCACGAGGTGCTTCCCGCGTGCTATGAACTAGGGCCATTGGCCGAAACGTCGCCTATTATATGGATTTTTATTTTTTTCATTTTAAGGCACGCAATGCTGTTGGCCGGATTTAGTTGATTTTTTTGGGGGGGGGGGGGAGTTTGTTGTTTTTACACTGCCAACGCAGCAGCAGTGGCAGCGGCTGCATCGCCAAACGATGCGAACTTAAACGAACAGAGTGAGAAGCGCATTGCAGTGAGATCAGAACGCCTTTTCTGTCTCCACACGTAAACAAATGTTGACTTCTGTTCCATCAGACAATTGGCTCTGACTGAATGAGTGCGCGTGTGCGCTATTGCCGCGCGCGTTTGAACGCACGGCGCGAGCGCCCTTTAGTTTCATCAGCCCGACCGTGCTGATGAGACCCAGCAGATCGAAACCGGGTTCAGAGATCGCTTGCTAAAAAACTCACACCGATTGACAATTTTTTGGTCCGGAAGCCAACAAGCTGATATATTTTAAAGCTTGTTTTTTATATATATATAAAAAAACAAATGTACACGTGGAAAGACGCCAATTTGAATTCTGCTCGCAGTTGTTTCTTGAGCCAGAGCAGCGCGTAATAATGTTGTGATTTGAGTAAATAATAATAACAACAGTAGGTGAGCCATTCAGGTGTTCGGCTTCGTAGCTGCTAAGTGCAATAAATGTTATAGCATCTCGCGGGGGGGGGTTGTGCGGCCTTATGCCCAATAGGGTACGAAAAGGGTTGACTCACTCACGAAGCATCTCGCGTGGGGGGGGGGGGGGATCTGTCTGTGTGTCGCTGTGTGTCTTTCTCAATGTGTCTATGTAGTCTAGAGTGTCACTGTGTCGCTGTGTGTCTTTCTCAATGTGTCTATGTAGTCTAGAGTGTGGCTGTGTCGCTGTGTGTCTTTCTCAATGTGTCTATGTAGTCTAGAGTGTCACTGTGTGTCGCTGTGTGTCTATCTCAATGTGTCTATGTAGTCTAGAGTGTCACTGTGTCGCTGTCTTTCTCAATGTGTCTATGTAGTCTAGAGTGTCACTGTGTCGCTGTGTGTCTTTCTCAATGTGTCTATGTAGTCTAGAGTGTGGCTGTGTCGCTGTGTGTCTTTCTCAATGTGTCTATGTAGTCTAGAGTGTCACTGTGTCGCTGTTTGTCTTTCTCAATGTGTCTATGTAGTCTAGAGTGTCACTGTGTCGCTGTGTGTCTTTCTCAATGTGTCTATGTAGTCTAGAGTGTGGCTGTGTCGCTGTGTGTCTTTCTCAATGTGTCTATGTAGTCTAGAGTGTCACTGTGTCGCTGTGTTTGTCTTTCTCAATGTGTCTATGTAGTCTAGAGTGTGGCTGTGTCGCTGTGTGTCTTTCTCAATGTGTCTATGTAGTCTAGAGTGTCACTGTGTCACTGTGTCTCTTTCTCAATGTGTCTATGTAGTCTAGAGTGTGGCTGTATCGCTGTGTTTGTCTTTCTCAATGTGTCTATGTAGTCTAGAGTGTGGCTGTGTCGCTGTGTGTCTTTCTCAATGTGTCTATGTAGTCTAGAGTGTCACTGTGTTGCTGTCTTTCTCAACGTGTCTATGTAGTCTAGAGTGTGGCTGTGTCGCTGTATTTGTCTTTCTCAATGTGTCTATGTAGTCTAGAGTGTGGCTGTGTCGCTGTTTGTCTTTCTCAATGTGTCTATGTAGTCTAGAGTGTCACTGTGTCGCTGTGTTTGTCTTTCTCAATGTGTCTACGTAGTCCAGAGTGTGGCTGTGTCGCTGTGTCTCTTTCTCAATGTGTCTATGTAGTCTAGAGTGTCACTGTGTCGCTGTGTGTCTTTCTCAATGTGTCTATGTAGTCTAGAGTGTGGCTGTGTCGCTGTTTGTCTTTCTCAATGTGTCTATGTAGTCTAGAGTGTGGCTGTGTCGCTGTGTGTCTTTCTCAATGTGTCTATGTAGTCTAGAGTGTGGCTGTGTCGCTGTTTGTCTTTCTCAATGTGTCTATGTAGTCTAGAGTGTGGCTGTGTCGCTGTGTGTCTTTCTCAATGTGTCTATGTAGTCTAGAGTGTGGCTGTGTCGCTGTTTGTCTTTCTCAATGTGTCTATGTAGTCTAAAGTGTCACTGTGTCGCTCTGTTTGTCTTTCTCAATGTGTCTACGTAGTCTAGAGTGTGGCTGTGTCGCTGTGTCTCTTTCTCAATGTGTCTATGTAGTCTAGAGTGTCACTGTGTCGCTGTGTTTGTCTTTCTCAATGTGTCTATGTAGTCTAGAGTGTGACTGTGTCGCTGTGTCTTTCTCAATGTGTCTATGTAGTCTAGAGTGTCACTGTGTCGCTGTGTGTCTTTCTCAATGTGTCTATGTAGTCTAGAGTGTGGCTGTGTCGCTGTGTGTCTTTCTCAATGTGTCTATGTAGTCTAGATTGTCACTGTGTCGCTGTCTTTCTCAATGTGTCTATGTAGTCTAGAGTGTCACTGTGTCGCTGTGTTTTTCTCAATGTGTCTATGTAGTCTAGAGTGTGGCTGTGTTGCTGTTTGTCTTTCTCAATGTGTCTACGTAGTCTAGAGTGTGGCTCTCTGTGTTCTCGTGCAGGGCCCCCCAGGAGATGGGGGCAAGCGCAGGGAGAGCTTCAGCAGCGAGGAGAATGTGGAGAGGTGCGCAGGGCGACCCTCCCAGGGCACCGGTCCAGCCAGCAGTGGCGAATCCACGACACGTGGGGCATTGCATTATCATTATTGGGTCAAACCCGCACATATATTCGCAGTCAGACCAGGGCTATTGTATGTGTGTATATATTGAATTTCTTTCACACCGTACGTGGCCAAACGTGCTGATCGGAAGTTGTGGGGGGGGGGGGGGAGACACGACTATTCTCAACACTGGGCAGCCATGCGATCATGAAGTTCAACACAATGCAGCAATCACCAGACCTGGGCACGAATCAATTGCTGCTACCCAATCACCGATGCCAATTCTCGGATTGTCTGGGTCAAACAAGGACCGGTGGGTCACCCTCGGGGCAAAAAAATCCTCTCGCGTGACCTTACTAAGGGGGCGGCGGTGTGGACGGGGGTGGGGGCATACAGACACGCAGCTGGGATGGTGGAGCTGGAGGGCAGGATACTGCCACATGTGATATAAAAAACTTTAAACGGCCGAGCGGAGTGAGTTAAAGATGGGATCTTCTCGTCCCGTATCTCTCGTTCTTTCTCTCTCTCGGGGAACGAGGAGCGCGTGCCAAGGAAGCTGCCACGCGCACACACAGTGAAGGATGAAGCTGGTGTGGGCCTCTTTGCATATGTTGTAAAGGGGCCCTAAATCAATACGTCGATATTAAAACACACACTTTTAACTTGCATCGTAAATTATATTTTTTTCATTTGCTATACAGCCAGAAATTACGACGAATCGCTAACCTTAAACACCCAGTCGTTCATAAAAGTCGAAGGCAGTATAGTACTATAGTAATAGAGCAAGTGCAGAATCACTGAACCGGAATTGAGAGCTTGAAAGCATTTAGCGCGGGGCCCTTGAAAGTGCGGGGCCCCGTAGCTACTACTACACGTGTAGTAGCTACTACACGTGTAGTAGTAGCTACTACACGTGTACACATGTGTGTAAGCCACTGTTGCTACGAGGATCATCCGGCACCGGCGCCCACCGATTGCTTCGCCGTGAAGATCGTAGCGCCAGCGTCGTTTTTCACGTCGACTCAAATAATTTAGAAACGGGGAACGGGCGTGTAGGTGGAGGTCTATGGGGGTGGTTGCGTGCGGGCTGTTATTGACCTGAGCCCTCCATAAGAACTGTGGGACTCCGCTCAAAGCAAATATTTGCTTTCACCCGGAAGGTTCCGTAGCAACGCGTATAATGAGTTTGCGCGCGGTATAACGCTCGCGGACGCGTGCCTGTGGTTATAATAAAAACAAAGTTTATTATATAGATGTGGGGCCGTGAGCTAAGAGATACGCAGGCTGTGCCAGCTGGGGGTGGTGTAGCTCACGGTGTGCCAGGTCAAACGAAATGCACGCGGCGACCGTGTCCCCGTTACCATCAGCCGTGAATTATCCACTGCTGGATGGAGGCCCTCCCCCGCTCAGTGTCAGTCGTGGTGGGTTGTTTGACCATTCTTCACAAGGCTGGTCAGTGCGCTTTGGTAGTGGGTGGGTGAGGGCTCAGGACGGAATCGGAAATGACTCGCCACTGACGGTAGCCGTGCCGGGAAATCAAACTCAGGTCGCCGGGTTCATAGCATAGTGCGCTAACCACTGCGCCACCGCTCTTCCACCTATCGATGTAGATCAACACAAATGAAGGTGGTTACAATCTGGTTTGATTATTGTTGTTGTTGCTGCTGCATTACCGGTAACCGCATAAAAACAGTAAAAAAATCCGGTTACCAACTTTGCCGCAAATATGTAAATGTTTATTACGTGGTGGGCTAAAGCGTGGGTACGACCACCGCTTCCCCAAGACGTCTGGCCATCGGGGAAGAAGAGACCAAATACCGAATTGGAGCTCCCTCTCGTGGAGGCTCTTCCACCAACAGTGGCGTGAGAGAGACATTGCAGGGCTGCACTTTTTATCTTCTAAATCGATAAACAAAACTCCGCCGTGCCGCTTGTTTCACGATCGCGCGTGCACATCAATCAGTGTTCATGACTCACGCGTCGCTGGCAACGATTGGCTACTGCTGACCTTCGCAACCGGTTATTAACCTTGAAATAGGGTTACCGGTTAACATCCCTAATACAACAACAAAATGAAGACAAAGATCCCCCGTGTAGCCTTAACGGACTGTAGGGGCAAGTGCTGTTAGCGAGTAGCACCTATGAAGGCCGGCACGGCACACGAGGGGGGTGGGTGGCCAGCGCCACGTCCGGCCGCCTTTGTCTCCCCAGTGACGACGTTTACACACCGCACCATAGTACAGATTTTGAGGCTGAGCCGACCTAGGGGAGCCCAGGAACCGAAACAAACTCACGCACCCATCAGCGATCTATAACGCCCGCCAGGGCTGACAAACAGCGGAGCAATGTCGCAAAAAAACATCGCGTGCGCTGCTGGCTGCGTCTTGGTGGCTGTCTCGGAGTCGGGGGCGGAGTGTGGTTTGTGGTCTGTGTGTTTAGCTGAATGGAGACCAAACACAACAGCGGCACGGGGCGGCTGTTATTGCGGTGTGTGTGTGGTGTGTGTTGTAGACATTGTATCGCGTGCAGGTAACCCGGTAACTCGACTTGAGAGTCGCGTCCTGTGATCACGCCCGGAGAGAGAGACATGCGAGTTGGCTATGCGTGCCGACGTTCAGCGACAAAGCAGCACGTCCGCCCAGGAGGTGGAGCGATTCAATATAAATTAAAGTGCCTGCCCGGTGGCTAGGTGAATTATTATTAGTACATCGCGGGATGGTGAGAGGTGGCGGAGGCTTAATTTGGGAGGCCTTCACCTAGCAGTGAATTGACCGTGGCTGATTGTGCAGTCATGTTGGGGCTATCCGCCCATTGGGGGCCCTATGCAGAGGGGATGTTGGGTGCTTCACTTGCCTACAAACAGGAGGGACAGGCTATTTTACCATATCACAGTTGCTTGACATTATTAACTTAGTCCACCAATTAGACTTCATTACAATTAATGTACAGTGATTGTAATTGATAAACTAATTTCAATTCCTGTACTTTTATTCTTAAAATTTTATAAGAATCATGAGCCTCTTTAAGCATTATTTTTAGCTGATCTTTTTGCTTAACTTTTATTTTTCCATGAATCCGGGAAACTTGGGGGCCTTTTGTGTTTGCTTGGCTCCGCTTACGCATAGCTCCGCCACCGGCTTCACGCATGCACGCGTTGGGGAATTCTTGGTATGTGCATTGAACTTCTTTCGCACCGTACCCGCCTAACCAACCGTGCTCATCGGAGGCGCTAATGTAATTTGTACGACGCTCCAGCATCCTCCGTTGGCCGTTTCGACATCCCACCGAGTGAACCACAACGCAGGCGAATTTAAGAGACCGCGTGTGAGCCAAATATCCGGACTGAACAATAAGACATCAATTCGACCACGTGAGAAGCTTCTCGAAGTGACCTCATCATTTGCTTAGCCGCTCGTCGCTCGTCACGCAGAGGGCGCCGGTGGAGCCAACGAAGCCAATCGGCGAGGAGACCCAGACTGCTCACGCGAGATGTGGGGTGCGGTTGCAGGGCAACTCTGGGCGACCGGGGGCAGCTGGGGTCATCGGCCGTCCGCGGTAGAACACGACCCCACCGTGGCAAGGGGCTTGCGGGCAGCCGGGAGAGCACGAACCCACCGTGGCAAGGGGCTTGCGGGCAGCCGATAGAACACGACCCCACCGTGGCAAGGGGCTTGCGGGCAGCCGGTAGAACACGACCCCACCGTGGCAAGGGGCTTGCGGGCAGCCGGGAGAGCAGTCAATGGCAGCTGCACAAAGGACGCCTAATTTTTTCTCAAAGTGCACAGCCGGCTTTTTTGTGCCGTGACTGTCGCGCGTGACAAACATGGATGGCGGTGTTGCTGAGAATGTGGAGGGGTGGGAAATGCCTCTGTCTCATAGCTGTGCATCGACTACGTGACATTTTTGGTTTGTTTTACGCTGTGAGCCTGTTGGGTTATCGGAGGTGTTTCACCATTGGGTGAATGGAGGGAGGAGTGTGGAGCACACACTTACAGTATAATAGCATCCGTAAAAGAGGTTTTTTTTTGGGTTATATCGCGTAGATATCTAAATGTGTCGTTAAACCCGCTACCACCCGACACAGCCAACTAGTAAGGGTTGTCACGTACATAGAACGTGCCAATTCGTCACGAGTACAGCATACCGGTGTATTGGAGAGCAAAGCCACAACATTTAGAATCTGAGTACGACGTTTCGCCAGTAATTACAACTAGCTTCATCAGGCGACAGCCAGATTTGTGGAGAAATCCTCCTGTTTCATTCCCTTCTTGCGCGAAGTGGAGGGGGGGTATGATAGAATGTATATAATTTACTATGATAGAATGTATATATAATTACTATGATAGAATGTATATAAATTACTATGATAGAATGTATATAAATTACTATGATAGAATGTATATAAATTACTATGGTAGAATGTATATAAATTACTATGATAGAATGTATATAAATTACTATGATAGAATTATATAAATTACTATGATAGAATCTATATAAATTACTATGATAGAATGTATATAAATTACTATGATAGAATGTATATAAATTACTATGATAGAATGTATATAAATTACTATGATAGAATGTATATAAATTACTATGATAGAATGTATATAAATTACTATGATAGAATGTATATAAATTACTATGATAGAATGTATATAAATTACTATGATAGAATGTATATAAATTACTATGATAGAATGTATATAAATTACTATGATAGAATGTATATAAATTACTATGATAGAATGTATATAAATTACTATGATAGAATGTATATAAATTACTATGATAGAATGTATATAAATTACTATGATAGAATGCATATAAATTACTATGATAGAATGTATATAAATTACTATGATAGAATGTATATAAATTACTATGATAGAATGTATATAAATTACTATGATAGAATGTATATAAATTACTATGAGTATCCATTTCAGTTTGGGTCATTTATGTTCAGAGAAACTCGTACTAACCATGAAGAGTGGTAACCATACTTCACCACGCCGGTCACGTTACTGGTAACCATACTTCACCACGCCGGTCACGCTACTGGTAACCATACTTCACCACGCTGGTCACGTTACCGGTAACCATACTTCACCACGCCGGTCACGCGACTGCCTGCAGTGGTTTCCGAATGCGGGGGTGGGTGATGCTGAGAAGCTGTGAAGTGGTCTCGTGACCATGACCCTCTCAAGAAAATACTCTTAGCATTACTCCAAAGACAAAGATCGCCCGTGTAGCCTGTAACAGGCTGTTGGGGCAAGTGCTGTTAGCGAGCAGCACAAAGGCAAAGATCCCCCGTGTAGCCTGTAACAGGCTGTTGTGGCAAGTGCTGTTAGCGAGCAGCACAAAGACAAAGATCCCCCGTGTAGCCTGTGACAGGCTGTTGGGGCAAGTGCTGTTAGCGAGCAGCACAAAGACAAAGATCCCCCGTGTAGCCTGTAACAGTCTGTTGGGGCAAGTGCCGTTAGCGAGCAGCACAAAGAGAAAGATCCCCCGTGTAGCCTGTAACAGTCTGTTGGGGCAAGTGCCGTTAGCGAGCAGCACAAAGAGAAAGATCCCCCGTGTAGCCTGTGACAGGCTGTTGGGGCAAGTGCTGTTAGCGAGCTGCACAAAGACAAAGATCCCCCGTGTAGCCTGTGGCAGGCTGTTGGGGCAAGTGCTGTTAGCGAGCTGCACAAAGACAAAGATCCCCGTGTAGCCTGTAACAGGCTGTTGGGGCAAGTGCTGTTAGCGAGCAGCACAAAGACAAAGATCCCCCGTGTAGCCTGTAACAGGCTGTTGGGGCAAGTGCTGTTAGCGAGCTGCACAAAGACAAAGATCCCCGTGTAGCCTGTAACAGGCTGTTGGGGCAAGTGCTGTTAGCGAGCAGCACAAAGACAAAGATCCCCCGTGTAGCCTGTAACAGGCTGTTGGGGCAAGTGCTGTTAGCGAGCAGCACAAAGACAAAGATCCCCCGTGTAGCCTGTAACAGGCTGTTGTGGCAAGTGCTGTTAGCGAGCAGCACAAAGACAAAGATCCCCCGTGTAGCCTGTGACAGGCTGTTGGGGCAAGTGCTGTTAGCGAGCAGCACAAAGACAAAGATCCCCCGTGTAGCCTGTAACAGTCTGTTGGGGCAAGTGCCGTTAGCGAGCAGCACAAAGAGAAAGATCCCCCGTGTAGCCTGTAACAGTCTGTTGGGGCAAGTGCCGTTAGCGAGCAGCACAAAGAGAAAGATCCCCCGTGTAGCCTGTGACAGGCTGTTGGGGCAAGTGCTGTTAGCGAGCTGCACAAAGACAAAGATCCCCCGTGTAGCCTGTGGCAGGCTGTTGGGGCAAGTGCTGTTAGCGAGCTGCACAAAGACAAAGATCCCCGTGTAGCCTGTAACAGGCTGTTGGGGCAAGTGCTGTTAGCGAGCAGCACAAAGACAAAGATCCCCCGTGTAGCCTGTAACAGGCTGTTGGGGCAAGTGCTGTTAGCGAGCTGCACAAAGACAAAGATCCCCGTGTAGCCTGTAACAGGCTGTTGGGGCAAGTGCTGTTAGCGAGCAGCACAAAGACAAAGATCCCCCGTGTAGCCTGTAACAGGCTGTTGGGGCAAGTGCTGTTAGCGAGCAGCACAAAGACAAAGATCCCCCGTGTAGCCTGTAACAGGCTGTTGTGGCAAGTGCTGTTAGCGAGCAGCACAAAGACAAAGATCCCCCGTGTAGCCTGTAACAGGCTGTTGGGGCAAGTGCTGTTAGCGAGCAGCACAAAGACAAAGATCCCCCGTGTAGCCTGTAACAGGCTGTTGTGGCAAGTGCTGTTAGCGAGCAGCACAAAGACAAAGATCCCCCGTGTAGCCTGTAACAGGCTGTTGGGGCAAGTGCTGTTAGCGAGCAGCACAAAGACAAAGATCCCCCGTGTAGCCTGTAACGGGCTGTTGGGGCAAGTGCTGTTAGCGAGCAGCACAAAGATCCCCCGTGTAGCCTGTAACAAGCTGTTGGGGCAAGTGCTGTTAGCGAGCAGCACAAAGACAAAGATCCCCGTGTAGCCTGTAACAGGCTGTTGGGGCAAGTGCTATTAGCGAGCAGCACAAAGACAAAGATCCCCCGTGTAGCCTGTTACAGGCTGTTGGGGCAAGTACCGTTAGCGAGTAGCACAAAGACAAAGATCCCCCGTGTAGCCTGTAACAGGCTGTTGTGGCAAGTGCTGTTAGCGAGCAGCACAAAGACAAAGATCCCCCGTGTAGCCTGTAACAGGCTGTTGGGGCAAGTGCTGTTAGCGAGCAGCACAAAGACAAAGATCCCCCGTGTAGCCTGTAACAGGCTGTTGGGGCAAGTGCTGTTAGCGAGCAGCACAAAGATCCCCCGTGTAGCCTGTAACAAGCTGTTGGGGCAAGTGCTGTTAGCGAGCAGCACAAAGACAAAGATCCCCGTGTAGCCTGTAACAGGCTGTTGGGGCAAGTGCCGTTAGCGAGCAGGACAAAGACAAAGATCCCCCGTGTAGCCTGTAACAGGCTGTTGGGGCAAGTGCTGTTAGCGAGCAGCACAAAGATCCCCCGTGTAGCCTGTGACAGTAGCGAGCAGCACCTATGATCCTCCTCCACACACACTCACACACGCGCGCGCGTACATCAAGTTGCTTTTACCGAGTGGCTGTTGAGCCGACGAGAGAGAGCCAGAGAGAGAGAATACAGCCCCCCCCCCACCGCAACAACATAGACAACAACAACAACAAGGAGGTCTGGTGGTAGAACAAGGATCTTGAAAGCGTGAGACGGAGCGTGGCGCTGGCCACCCGCACGCCCGTTCGTTCGTTCGCTCGCACGCCGCTGGCTCGTGCGAATCGAGCACGTGGCGTTGTTGTTGTTGTTGTTGTCGTTGTTGTCGTTGCTGCTGCTGCTTGGTACAACAACACAACTTGGGAGCGGTCATCCACCGCGCTCGTAAAGAGGTCCCCGCATCAATATCGACTTTCGGGGCTGCGAACTGCTGTCATCAATTTCTCTCTCCTCCCCTCTCAACACCCCCCCCCCCCCCCCCCATATTTGGACATCGTGGGCAAGACCGTAAAAAAAAGCCACAACAGCTTGAGTGTGGCTGTGGTGGCACCGCCAAACTCACGCCGAGCAGCCCCTGCGTGAGTACAGGGAAGGAGGAGGGCTGGAGGGGGGGGGCATGGTTTGTGTCGGAGGCCATCGCGAGAGCGACGCGGCCGAGCGGGGAGTCGCCTCTGGGGCCGCGGGCTCCGTCTCACAGCGGCGGGGCCCTGGGCACGACCCCGTCGCGCCGTCGCAGAGTGACGGGGGCCCGCGGGCATCCACCAGCGAGAGTCCCTCTCGGCCCACGTGGTGAGTGGCAGCCACGGCTCACCCACCCACACACACCCCGCTCACTCCCCTACACCCCACTCACCCACCCACACCCCGCTCACCCACCCACCCACACCCCGCTCACCCACTCACCCACCCACACCCCGCTCACCCACCCCAACCCCACTCACCCACCCACACCCCGCTCACCCACTCACCCACCCACCCACCCCCCGCTCACCCACTCACCCACCCACACCCCGCTCACCCACCCACACCCCACTCACCCACCCACACCCCGCTCACCCACTCACCCACCCACACCCCGCTCACCCACCTACACCCCACTCACCCACCCACCCACACCCCGCTCACCCACCTACACCCCACTCACCCACCCACCCACACCCCGCTCACCCACTCACCCACACCCCGCTAACCCACTCACCCACACCCCACTCACCCACCCACCCACACCCCGCTCACCCACACACCGCTCACCCACTCACCCACACACCGCTCACCCACCCACATCCCGCTCACCCACTCACCCACACACCGCTCACCCACCCACACCCCGCTCACCCACCCACACCCCGCTCACCCACTCACCCACACCCCACTCACCCACCCACCCACCCACACCCCGCCCACCCACCCACCCACCCACACCCCGCTCACCCACTCACCCACTCACCCACACCCCGCTCACCCACCCACCCACACCCCGCTCACCCACCTACACCCCGCTCACCCACTCACACCTCACTCACCCACACCCCACTCACCCACCCACCCACACCCCGCTCACCCACTCACCCACCCACACTCTACCCACCCACACCCCACCCACCCACACCCCACTCACCCACCCACACCCCACCCGACCCACCCACCCACACCCCACCCAACCAACCACCCCCCACCCACCCACATCCCACCCAATGCTGCTTGAGTAAATATCAAAGGCCCACGGTGTTCTTCATCGCAAGGCCACCGCGGGGTGCCCCTGCCGGCCTCTGGGTGGTCTTCAGTGCGGCTCCCGACGTACGGGCCCCCACCGACAATACACAACAAGTGGGACCCCCCCCTCCCCCCCACATGGATCATGGCTGTCAAAGCCCCAATGGTTTCAAATGGCTGGCGGGCCCTCAACACTTGACGATGTCTTCGTGTCGACGAAAGTGACCCCCATCCCCCTTCCTCTGAAAAGTAGTGAAGAGCGCTGCTCCAAGAGATATGATTATTACGTGATTACAGCTACCACGTTTGTTCACCCAGGACAGCGTCACGACTCTTTCTCGGGAGGGTCCTGCCAAGTATTCGCAGGGCGACTTTGCTGCTGCTGCTACTGCTGTTGTTGTGTATGGTCGCTAAGAAGCACTTGCCCCAACCGTATGTTCGAGCTATACGGGGGATCTTTGTCTTTGTCGCAATAGGGGAGCGGTGGTGCAGCGGTTAGCGCGCGGCGCTACGAACCCGGCGAGCCGAGTTCGGTTCCCGCTCACTGCCACCAGCACCCAGTGACGATTATCCGAATCGGTTCTGGGCCTTCCCTAGGTCGACTCAGCCTCAAATGATTACCTGGTGCGGTGTGTAAAAACATCGCCACTGGGGAGACAAAGGCGGCTGGGCGTGGTGTTGACCACCCACCCCCTCGTGTGCCGTGCCGGCCTTCAAAGGTGCTAACTCGCTAACAGCACTTGCCCCAACAGTCTGTCAAGGCTACACGGGGGATCTTTGTCGATGTCACGTGTAGGTGATTCTTCGGCACTGGGGATGTTGTGGTCAACGCCGATCACATTGCACGGGATATGCAGGTAGTCTATACAGGTAGTATGTACAGGTAGTCTATACAGGTATAATATACAGGTAGTATGTACAGGTAGTCTATACAGGTAGTCTATACAGGTAGTATGTACAGGTAGTCTGTACAGGTAGTCTATACAGGTAGAATGTACAGGTAGTCTGTACAGGTAGTCTGTACAGGTAGTCTATACAAGTAGTCTATACAGGTAGTCTATACAGGTAGTATGTACAGGTGTATTGTATTTATTTAGCTGTGGGAGGAAAACCATGCAGAACTGTGAGCCCGAATGGGGTATCGAGCTCAGGTTATTTTGGCTGCAGGCTACAGGCTTCGAGTGTGACCGCTGCTCCACCCCGGCGACATGAGCAGTCACTCTCCGCCACTCCACGTGCCCTTCACTCCAGCAGCCTAGACCTTCTGCTGATGCACCCAAACAAGATCATGGGGAGGTGGGGGGGTTCGCTCCTTCTCCTATGCTGCCTTCCATTTTCTCTCTCACCCCATTCAACCGGTCAAGTGCAAGCTCAAGATCGTCCTCCGCTTCTGTCTGTGACTCTCTCCTCTGTGAAGTGCTACTTTCCCCCCCCCCCCCTTTCCTCTCCGCTCTGTGTTATATCCTCTTAGCGTCTCCCACTGAGTACAACTCGAAGCCCCGTATAATGTCCACGTTGCCAGCTAGACGCACGCGTTCCCCCCCTCCCTCCCCCACATGTGTACGGCCAAACCCCTTGAGGTACAGTCGCTTTTTACTCGCTGTGTCAACTCACGTGGGGGGTATATTGGTGGTGAGCCAGGGTTGGAGGCAGCCCTGTTCCGATTGACCCGGGGGGGGCGATTTGGAAGCTCTAGACTCAGATTATTTCGACTGCAGGAGGAATCCGATGAGCTATAAAGCTCTTTTTATTTTGCACAGATGTCCAGTAGGGGCACGGGGTCAGAACGTTACGACAACAAACGTCGTTACAAAACACGAGTGCAAAAGGATAGCACCGGTAAGCAGATAACTTAAAATGATATACAAATAAATTTTTTTTTTTATCTTCCCAGGAAAGGCCCGGTGAGCTAAAAGCTTTTTTTCAGAAGCGATCTGGCCACAAACGATAGCTCAACAAAGTGGCTTATCACGTGGAAATTTATAGCAGAAAAAAATATATTCGAACTAATCTAGACGCTTGTTTCTCAATGTGGAGGGGAAAACCGGAGAAAAAAATCGACACGACCAGTCCTGTAGCGCCGATTCCTGAAACATGGGTGGAGGAATCCACGAGCTTGGCTCACGGGAACAGTGACGGAAGAGCGATACGAGTGTTGTACCGTTTGTGGCGTAAATTTTTGATGTGGGGTATGTGATCTCGAATTTTGGCAACGGCAGTGAAGGGCGGTAATGATGCTGCTGTTTTGGTAAGACGAGAGACGGAGCCGGGCTAATGGGAGAAACGCGATGCTGCTGCAAGTGTACACGCGTGCTTGAGCAACTGGTGCCAAGAGACACGAAGGAAAAAGTCATCGCCCCCGTAGCCCCTATTCCTGGGTGCCAGGCAGTCACCTCGAGATGTCACCTCACTGCTGTGTGGCATCACCGGTGCAATATTGTGAGGGCCACGGGGCATTGTGTAGTGTCACCTGTGCAACATTGTGAGAACCACGGGGCACTGCGTGGTATCACCTGTGCAACATTGTGAGAGCCACAGGGCACTGCGTGGTATAATCGAACCGACTTCCCTTCCTTCGTCCTCGCCCGTCCGCTGTGCCCCTTAAGTTTCGACCACGAGCAGAGCGGCCGCCTGGAGGAGCAAATCCGCCTCTCGGATCTGCAGCAGCTGCAGGCCACATTCTCCAGCCACCGCTCATCGCGCCACTCGGAGGACGAGGATGACGACGCGGCGGAGGCAGAGGGCGCCTCAAGGGGGACACAGGGAAGTCGAGTTTCCGCCAAGGCTGAATTCTTCTTATTGTTGTTACCCTTGTTCACGCAGGAAAGCCTCTACGAGTCGCGGGCAGTATTTCGGTGCGTAATTTATTATGGGTTAGGCCGTGTAAATGATGTGGCCGCATTTGCGCTGGATTGCATTTCCTGGATTTTGCCCAGAAAAAGCTTTGGCGCAGTTTCTGAACGTCCCATGGCTAACCTCTGAATTTCATCGTGAGAAATGTTCTTCAACCTGCCGGCGAGCTGAACCAGTGTTAATTGTCGCGTTTAACTTCCTTGCACACGTCGTGTGTTGGAGGGTTTTACGACGCGCATCATTTGTGTCGGAGCTCATTACTTGGCCTAACATTTTTTTTAACAAAAACTAGAATTTTTGTTTAAAAATAAATAAAAAAAATTCGCGAAGAATTGTTTTTTTGTTAACAAAAATGTTTCACACCGTACCGTGGCCGTGACGAATAACGACGTCGCGACGTTCGTCGGTGGCCCCCCACAGGGGAGAGAGCGGCGCCGGCGGCGGGCGTCCTCGCGCCCTGCCGGTGCCATGAACCGCGCCGAGTTCCGCCAGAGCCTGCGTGAGCTGCTCGGCTCCGACCGGTGGGGCGAACAGATGGACGGACTCTTCGACAAGGTGGGCGACAGCCGCGCTCCCTTCCACACCCCCTCGACCCCGCCGCCTCTTAAACTACGTGGTTTTTTTTTAAATAATTATTTTGCCAAGCAAGGTCCACTGGAGCCGTGGTGGCTGTTGTTCGGAAGCGATCCGGCTGTAACAAATGGTAGCTCAGCGAAGTGGCTTAGCGTGCGGACATTGAGAGCAGCCAAATACTCGAAACGCGTGCGGATTCTAACGTGAGGGGCCGGCCAAAAATCCGAAACGACCACAGAGAGAACTTGCAAACTCGAAATAGACAGCAGGCGTCAGGGTCGGGATTGAACCCACGACCTCCTGCTTACCATGGGGAGGAAGTTCACATCTCCTAGCCACCGCGGTGGAGAGGCTTATGCCACCTCCTCGATGCCCGCGGGAAGGAGAGTCGCGCAACATCCCGCCATCGGTGATCTACCAACGCTCGCCGCCTGCCTCGACGGTGCTGGATAAGAGGTGACACGGGGGGCCGGGGGTGGGGGGGGGGGTCTCGTGTGGGGGGGCTCCGTGTGACCTCGTGCGTCGGGCGTGCAGGTGGACACGTCGGGTGACGGCTACGTGGACTGGGGCGACTTCTGTACCTACATGCTCATGCAGTACCGCGAGCGGGACTTTGCGCGCGCGCGCCACGAGGCGCCCTTCCCGCCGCTGGCGCTCGTCATCCGCCACTGCACGCACAACAAGGTGACCCCCTCCTCCCTCCCCAGCCCCTTTCCCCTCCCCCTCCTCCCTCCTCTCCTGCCCCCCTTCCTCCTCCTCCCTCCTGCCCCTCTACTCCTCCCCCCTCCTCCCTCCCCAGCCCCTTTCCTCTCCCCCTCCCCTCCTCCCTCCTCTCCTGCCCCCCTTCCTCTTCCCCTCCCCCCACCTGCCCCCCCCCTTACTCCTCCCTCCTCCTCCCACCTGCCCCTCTACTTCTCCCTCCTCGCTTGCCCGTTCCTCCCCCCCCTTCTCCCTCCCTTTCCCCTCCCCCTCCTCTCCTGCCCCCCTTCCTCCTCCCCCTCCTCCCTCCTCCCCTGCCCCCTCCCTCCCCTCCTCCCTCCTCCTCAGGCGCGCCCAGCAGACCCAAGAGAACCGCCTAGGCCCAGGGGTCAGCAACTAAAATGCCACGCAAATCGCGGCTTCTTCAATTGCCTTGTGTGAGCGGCATCTGGTCGGATGAGAAAGCCCTCGCCGATTGTAAAATTTTCCCGGCAGAATTTGTTATTTAGATTGCAGCATATTGTGATAAGCCACTTCGTTGAACTATCCATTTGTGATGGCCAGGTCGCTTCTGAAAGAGAGCTATGTAGTTCAGCGGGCCTTACCTGGTAAAACAAATCTATCGTTTAGCTTTATAGTTGAGTTTGTTCCACTCTCCCACGCTATTTCAGACTTTCCCTGACTGCCTCCCGGCCTCTCAAGACTCCCCCCATCATCATCACCATCATCATGTAGTCCTTCCCAGGTAACGCTGACATAGGTGCACCTCCGATTATCACGGTTGGCTACGCACGGCGCGAAAGAAGTTCAACGAACGTAATACGTACGTAGGCAACCGCGCCAATCATGAGGTGTGGCGGGGAAAAAAAATAATTGACAGAACGACTGGGAACAAATTGCGCGCAACTAACCGGACTCGACCCCGTGGTGTGGCCGACTTGAGTTGAGGCGACCTGCATTGCGAACGGACCGCCCCCCACGACACGAACGGCTCCGAAGCCGAGTTGCCACGGCCGCTCGTTGGGGGCGATGCGTCCGCGGCCGGGCGACGGTTTGCCGGCAGCGATGGGCCCCTGAAAAAAAATAAAAAGTGACCCTCGTGGTGGTTCGCCGGCGCGGGGCCCCCCGCGGCCGTCGTGCGGACCGCCCACTCACAGGAACTTGCGCGTGGCGCGTAGCGGTTAGCGCTGCGCTGCGAACTGACGGAGCCGAGTTCGATTCCCGCGCGGGGCCAACACCGGCGACGATCATCTGAACCGGGGTCACGGGCCTCCCCTAGGTCGACTCGGCCTCGAAGGAGTACCTGGTGCCGGTGTGTGTTAACATCGCCACTGGGGAGACGAAGGCGGCCGGGCGTGGTTGTTGGGCCAACCACCCCCTCGTGTGCCGTGCCGGCCTTCATAGGTGCTCCTCGCTAACAGCACTTGCCCCCTACAGTCTGTCGAGGCTACACGGGGGGCAGGGACGTGCGGTCATGGGCGGCAGGTGAGGCAGAGCGTCACCTGTCGTTCTCCAATGAAAATTTTGATTTTTTTCCCACTGATCTGTGTTTTAAATGTAATCTCTGTACGATTCTAATCATTTTTAAAGTCAAAATCGCCAAATTTGCGGAGCTCCGCTGCAAATAGAGGAAGAGACGAGAGGTGAGGCAGCGACGAGCTCAGCCTCCCCTCTGATTGCGCAACCCCTCAGTAACTGGATGTAGCGCGGGCAATAAGCGCGTGCCTGTTACTATCTCAGTATGTCACTAATGTAATGTTTGTAGGCCCCTTCATTTCATGTCCTCGCCTTCCGTACTCCAGGTAACTTATTTCACGTACGTGTAGAAAGATATTCAGGCTCGCTGGTCTCGTCATGAAACTGCAATGAAAAAGCACCAGGGGAGGCAGCTATCACATCTGCCTCACTGAGGGGGGCGTGTCAAACACGCCCCCCTCCTTGAGGACACGCCCCCTCAGTGAGGCCACGTCCTCCTCCGTGAGGCCACGCCCCCCTCAGTGTGTGCATCTGGCTCTGACACTCGCCAGTGCCTCCCCAGCCATTGGCCTCACCGCACGTCACTGACGGGGGGGATCTTTGTCTCCGTGTGTCCGTGTGCGACGACAAAGCAAGAGGTGTGCACGCGGCTGCTGGCGCTCGACTCGCCGGCGCCGCTGCGCTTCGTGTCTGTGAGCAAGGAGGGCGTCCTGACCGTGTGGGACCGCCACCTCCGCCTGCAGCGCTCCTTCCAGGTGAGGAGCGCCTCCCTCCCTCCCTCCTGCTGCTCCCTCCTGCTGCTCCCTCCCTCCTGCTGCTCCCTCCCTCCTGCTGCTCCCTCCCTCCTGCTGCTCCCTCCTGCTGCTGCTCCCTCCTGCTGCTCCCTCCCTCCTGCTGCTCCCTCCCTCCTGCTGCTCCCTCCCTCCCTCCTGCTGCTCCCTCCTGCTGCTGCTCCCTCCCTCCTGATGCTCCCTCCCTCTCTCCTGCTGCTCCCTCCTGCTGCTCCCTCCTGCTGCTCCCTCCCTCCTGCTGCTCCCTCCCTGCTGCTGCTCCCTCCTGCTGCTCCCTCCCTCCTGCTGCTCCCTCCCTCCTGCTGCTCCCTCCCTACTGCTCCCTCCTGCTGCTCCCTCCCTGCTGCTGCTCCCTCCCTCCTGCTGCTCCCTCCTGCTGCTCCCTGCTGCTGCTCCCTCCCTCCTGCTGCTCCCTCCTGCTGCTCCCTGCTGCTGCTCCCTCCCTCCTGCTGCTCCCTCACCTCCTGCTGCTCCTTCCTGCTGCTCCCTCCCTCCCGCTGCTGCTGCTGCTCGTCGCGCGGATGAATTCGCCACGTGATACTCATGATGATATTCACCCCTTTCCCGTCGCGAGGTGACTGCAAGTTGCAGGGTGGGTGTCCCGTTCACCCCGCTGGATCTCAGAACGCGCGAGCGCTTCGGCGTCAATGTAATTTAGAGACGCGTAGCGCCGTTGTTTTTAAAGGCATCGCACTCTCCACAAGAGAACCGTAGCGACACGACCGCGCTCTACGATAGCTGCCGCCAAACTGTGCTACAATGCATATATTAAATGATCAGAGCATGTTTGTTCGCTAGTTCATCACAAGTACTGTGCGTGTGGTTAATGCGAACTTGCTTCCTTGCAAAAGGTTTCTATTTAGTGTATGAACATCTTAACACCTCCTGTTTTATTGCCACAAAGGGTGAAACCTGTTCTTATTTTTCATAGTGTGCCACACGCCCTCCCGCCCGCCCTTGCGGGAGCCTCGGTACGTCTTCCGACTTGAAGACGTACCGATAAAGCTGTTTTATTTTTTTCCTTCTGATTCCGTTCCGATGACGTGGCGTCATCGGAATGGGAAAGGGTCAGCGATACAATTTACAACGCGTGCAATGTTTCAAAATCTCCACGCCAGGTCACGCCGGAAACCAGACCCACTCTGTTCAAATGTGTCCGGAGTCGTGTCGGAAGACGCGTCGTGAATCGGGGTTTCTGCGTCGTAAACCGATCAGCGGCGGCGCCAACTGCACACAAAAGTCGCGCATGTGAACCGTCGTCAACGGGAGACCGCCCGTTGACGATTACCACGACCTCACTCTCGTGGGCTACCGAACGACGAGCGGTCGAGCGGGGCGGGTACGGCTTGGGGCGCCCGGCGCGCGTAACGAGCAGACGCATGGGCGGCGGTGGCAGGAGGAGGTGGAGGACCCGCGCGGGGGCAAGCGGCGCTTCCGCACGTGGAGCACGGACGCCGTGGTGCTGCCCGACGTCCACAAGATCGCCGTGAGCACGACGAGCCGCGACATCCGCTTCTACGACATCTCCACGCCCAACTTCACGCAGGAGTTCCAGCTCTTCGGTACGGAATCCGGAATATTCATGCTGGGGAAAGCCGATGAGCGACGAAGCCTATTTCACGGATGTACAGTAGGTCACGGACGTCCAGTAGGTCATGGACGTCCAGTAGTTCACGGACGTCCAGTAGGTAACGGACGTTCAGTAGTTCACGGACGCCCAGTAGATCACGGACGTCCAGTAGGTCACGGACGTCCAGTAGGTCACGGACGTCCAGTAGTTCACGGACGTCCAGTAGTTCACGGACGTCCAGTAGGTCACGGACGTCCAGTAGGTCACGGACGCCCAGTAGTTCACAGACGTCCAGTTGTTCATGAGCGTCCAGTAGTTCACGGGCATCCAGTAGGTCACGGACGTCCAGTACTCTTTGGTTCTATTCGGTAAAGTCACGTAGGTTAAAAAAATAAATCAACAAAAATCACGACGTTTCGGCCACAACACAAATGGCCTTCATCAGGTGAAGGGACCAGGCTGTCTCGAGGACAGTGCTGGAGTGAACACAGCCAAGCTCAGACCGCGACCTTTAAGCTTGTGTGAGAGGAATTAAGGTGCCTTGACAAAGGAATTAGCATAAAAATTAGCATTTAATTGACGGACTTAGCATGATGAACGGTGTAGAGGGGGTGAACATGTGCAGGTCGGCGAGGGGGAGTTTATGGACGTCCAGTAGTTCACGGACGTCCAGTAGGTCACGGACGTCCAGTAGTTCACGGACGTGCAGCAGGTCACGGATGGTCGTACGGTAACCTCCACCACCGCCAGCCCACGGCAGCAGCAGAAGCAGCACGGGCGGTGGCATTCAACTGGCGGCGCTCGGCGTTGGCAAAAATAAAATTCCGAGGCCCCAGGTGGCGCCAGAGGCCTGGGGATGCGGATGCGGGAAGAAATTGGGGGTGTGCGTCAAATATCAGGTCACATTTCAACCCGGTGTCGGTAGTAAGTAAACACAAAGAATGCCGTTACTTTTTTACGCGGAGAGACAATGCATTTCTATGAACACGATTGTCCAAAGGTCCAAGACGTTAAGCGGCCAGCAACAAACGGCACTACCCGCTTGGATAGTAGGGCCAAGCCTGCAGCACCAGTGCCCGTGTGGCCGCCCTGTGACAAATGAAACGACGCGTTTATGGGTTGCGCTCTCTTGATTGACAATACCGCCAGGTTGCGATGAGACGTTATCTCCCTCGCCTGGTACGCGGAAATACGTGGGTTCGATCCCGGACCCTGACAACGCCTGTTGTCGTATATCTGTAGTCTGCGTGTTCTCTCTCTCTTTCCGTGGTGGTCACAGCGTGGATTTTTTTCCGTGTTCTTTCTCCCGTTTTGCCGAGTTAATGTTATTTAATTATTTGGCTGCTACTATAAATTCGCACGTGTGATGATGATTATGATGATATCAGCCACTTCGATGAGCTATCACGTGTGGCCAGGTCACATCTGCAAAGAGAGCTAACAGCTCAGCGGGGAAATAAAATAGTTTAGTTTTAAATGTTTGTTTTCTCTTCATTACGTGTTAGCTACGTGTCAACCGACACCCTGGACACCTCAAGGGAGTTGTCCAGGTGGAATATTTTTAAAATATTATTTTGGGTGCGATGCCAACGAATACATTGTGAGGTCGCACTCGTTACGCACAAAGTGCTTGCCACAAATGAACCACGGTCATGAACCATCACACAAACTTCGGTCATCCTCGCAACAGCGGATTTTGGCTTCTAGCCATCGATCAAAGGCGGTGATGCCCTTCTGGGGCCGTCTGGAACGCTCTTCCTTCTGATATTAGGAAGCCACCGGAGCTATGCACTTTTAAATCATCTCGATTGACAAACCAATTTCTTTACAACAGCTTTTTGTGTGTTTAGTTTGTTGTCCTTCCTCCGCACCTCCTATTAGCACGGTCGGCTAAATTCTACATGTGCACATATATACGCTCAGCGCTACGCACGTCATACGCTCCCGTGCTGTTGTCGTAGACGCGGTACTGATGCGTGCCTCGTGCTTGCTTCGCAGCCCTGAACAACGTGCCGACCTGCATGCATTACTCGTTCAATGAGAAGGTGAGCAGTCGTGGTGGATAATGCCCGTTCACGTGTCATCATGAACAAACGTAAACACTTCACCGTATTCTCTGGATCAGAAGACGCTCCGGACGGTGAGGCTACTACTCATACACCCAAACTTTTTGGGGGCAAATTTTAGAGGCACTTTTAAAACAAACAAACAAAACTTCCAAGAAAATGCGACGTCCGTGAAATTTAAATGAACAGTTCGTGCCGTGTAGAGAGGAGGAGGGGGGGGGTCAGGGGAGAGAGTGGAAACAGGGCGACAGTCGGAGAGTGGTTGTGGTGGCCGTGCAAGTTGTTGACTTGTCCTACGTATCTGGTCGTGCGTGCGCACACACACACACAACCACAACTACTTTTGCGCTTAAAATTGTAAGAATTTACAATCATTCAGAGTCGGAATCTTTATTTGCCCCGGAGGAATCCGATGAGCTATGAAGCTCTTTTTCACGGATGTTAAGTCGGGGCGGGGCAGAGCGGTGCAACGACAAACGGCACAAAACCTCGACAGGATTGCAGCGTAGGAAACGTAAACAAATCACTTACAAAATATAAACAAATAAAACTCAACAACTTTGTTTGATCTCACCAGTTAAGCCACCCCCCCCCCCCCCCCCCGAGCAATCGCCGGTCGAGTTCCGTTTTGAGTCGCGAAACGAAGCTCGATTTTTGCGGACTCGCGAAATCCCTCGGCTGCGTCGAACGGGGCACAGCGCGGACGGTGAGCGGCCCCCCGCTGACAATGAGCGGCCCCCCGCTGACAATGAGCGGCCCCCCACTGACAATGAGCGGCTCCCCACTGACAATGAGTGGCCCCCCACTGACAATGAGTGGCCCCCCACTGACAATGAGCGGCTCCCCGCTGACAATGAGCGGCCCCCCGCTGACAATGAGCGACCCCCCACTGACAATGAGCGGCTCCCCGCTGACAATGAGCGGCCTCCCGCTGACAATGAGCGGCCCCCCACTGACAATGAGTGGCCCCCCACTGACAATGAGCGGCTCCCCGCTGACAATGAGCGGCTCCCCACTGACAATGAGTGGCCCCCCACTGACAATGAGCGGCTCCCCGCTGACAAAGAGCGGCCCCCCGCTGACAATGAGCGGCCCCCCGCTGACAATGAGCGGCCCCCCGCTGACAATTTGGTGCCGTGAATTTCCACGTGGCGAGAAGCTGCTTTGTTTGAGCCGTCGTTTGTGGCCAGGTCGCTTCTGGAAAATAGCTTGAGACCTCGGTGGGCTTTAGCTGGTCAGATGAAACATTTTTTTGCTTAGTTTCGCTTTTGTATTTTAAATGATTTCTGTGCCTTTCCTACACTCTGCGCTCCTGCCGTGTTTTTATTTTCGTACCGTTTGTCGTTGGCAACGTTCTGACCCCGTGCCCCGAATGGAATATCTGAAAAAAAAAAGCTTCACAGCTCATCGGATTCCTCCAGCGCAAATACATATTCTGATTCTGAATATCAGAAGTATTGATTCAACACAAGCAAAGGCGACTCACGAAACAATACGCGGCTCCCGATGATTGTGCGCTGACGCCAGGCCCCCGGGAGCCCCTCTGTGCTCCTGTGGGGAGACGACTCCGGCGCTGTGAACCTGCTCACCATCCTGCAGCCCCACGCGGGCCTCTTTGAGAAGCCCTTCAGCCGCGAGGAGGGCGTCCGTCGGATCTTCATGCAGGTGACGTGGCCACTGAAGGCACAGGTGTCCCCCGCCCGGCCTTTCACTGGAGCGTCGGCACGAGTAGCCGGCACGAGTAGCCGGCACGGCACGTGGCGTAGGGGGGGGGTGGTCCAAGCCGCGTACGGGCGCGGCCTTTGTCTCTCCAATGCCAGTGTTTACACACCCCGCCAGGTAGTCAGCTAAGGCTGAGTCGACCTAAGGGGAGGCCCAGGACCGGTTTGGATGTTTTTCGTCGCCACGAGCGGGAACCAAACTCGGGCCACCGGGTTCGTAGAGCGGTGCGCTAACCGCCGCGCCACCGCTCCCCACACGCAAACAACACGCTCCTGACCAGCAAACATGTTCCTGGGCACGATTATGTAAACTGAACCGGTTAAAGCAAGCGGCTTTCCCCCCCCCCCCCACCCCCATCGGTAAACTGGAACCGAACCCACGGAGGGTGCCAATTTGAACCGCGACCACCGCTCTCGGCCTTGGCTTCGCCCAAACCGAACCGGGACAAAGACGCGCAAGCAAGGGGTGATGCTTTGGCATTGGAAGGACGGCAACATGACGGCGAGAGCGTGGTGACGACGGCGAGAGCATGGTGACGACGGCGAGAGTGTGGTGACGACGGCGAGAGTGTGGTGACGACGGCGAGAGTGTGGTGACGACGGCGACGACGGAGACGTCCCCCCCTTCCCCCCCCCCCCGGGCTAAGCGGCGCGACGCGGGGGCCGGGCTGCGACCCCGAGCCCGCGGTGACCCCGCGGTGACCCCGCCGCGCTCTCCGCCTTGCAGGACCTGGGCGACCACGCCCGGCTGCTGAAGCTGCGCGTGATCCCCGGGGTTCACGAGGGGCCGGTGCGCGCTCTCCGCTTCGTGGCCGAGGAAGGAGGAGGTGGAGGAGGAGGAGGGGCAGGCGCAGGAGGAGGAGGTGGAAGAGGGGGTGGAGAGGATGACCGCGGCGGCCTGCTGTTCTCGTGCTGCGAGAGCGCCCGCACCTCTCTGGTGGTGCGCGACGTGGCCGGGCGGCGGAAGCCGTACGTGTGGAGCATGAGCAAGGTCTGGAGGGGGGGGGGGGGGGGGCCTCGCCACGGACACACAGACACCAACATGCGAACCGAGCACAAAACAATCACGAGTCGATCATCATCATCATCATCATACGTGATCTGTCCACTGCTGGATGTATGTTGAACTTTTTTCGCACCGTACGTGGCCAACCGTTCTAATCGGAGGTGCGGGGGAAAGAGAATAAACTAAGCACAACAAGCAGTTAGAAAGAAATTAGTTTTCAACCTCGATGATTTAAAAGTGCAAAGCTCCAGCGGCTTCCTAATATAGGAAGGAGGAGCGTTCCAGACGGCCGCAGAAGCGCACCTCAAAGCGCGCGATGGCAGTGACCACAGTCTTTACTCTTTGGTTCTATTCGGTAAAGTCACATAGGTAAAAAATAAAACGGCAAAAATCACGACGTTTCGGCCACAACACAAGTGGCCTTCATCAGGTGAAGGGACCAGACTGTCTCGAGGACAGCGCTGGAGTGAACACAGCCAAGCTCAGACCGCGACCTTTAAGCTGTGTGAGAGGAAACAAGGTGCCTTGACAAAGGAATTAGCATACAAATTAGCATTCAATTGGCGGACTTAGCATGGTGAACGGTGTAGAGGGGGTGAACATATGCAGACCGGCGAGGGGGGGAGGGGGAGTTTACATATTGATGGTGTGCAAAGGGAATTTAAGCAGCTGCGAAAGTTTGGGATACCACTACTTGAAAAAATATACTGTACCATTGAAAATTAGTTTAATGTTTGGTTCGATTTAGAACATCTTTCCAATGGTTGCTTAATTTGAAACCATCTTCTCGGTTGAAATTGTGTCTGTGTTTGTAAATCTGAATTGCCTCGTGAACAAATCTCTGATAAAAAAAACCCGTGGGTTTGCAAAGAACCTTGGTATCGGAGAAAATTATACCGTGATCATCCACAGCGTTGTAACAGTGATCAGCTACGGCAGAAGAATTCGTTCTGCCGTGTTTCAAATCTGATTTGTGCTCGCGAATTCGGTCAGAGACATGTCGTTTCGTCTCCCTGATATAGCAGTCACCACAGGTGCAGATCAATCTGTAAACTCCGGGTTACTGTAAGTCAGGAATAATATCCTTCACGGAAGGGATCAGGTCACGGATTTTGTGTACTGTATTGAACCGGACCAGGATCTTGTGTTTGTTTAGAATTTTGGAGATCTTTTTAGTAACGCCTGCTATATATGGCAGTGTGATGGTTTTGATCGGAGTATTAAGTGGTTGTTTCTGTCTGGAGGGAGAAACAGCTTGGCGGATGGTACGGTCAGAGTATCCATTCCTTTTGAGGGCCAGATGCACATGTTTTAATTCACTGGTCAGGGGGTGTTGGTCCGAAATGCAATGAGCCCTATGGTGTAAAGTTTTGATGAGATAATTATTTTGGGCTGGGTGGTGGTGGGAATCAGGTTTCAAGTAGGAATCTGTGTGGGTGGGTTTCTTGTAGACAGAATGCCCCAATGAGCCATCAGGTCTCCTCTCAAACAGAACATCTAAGAATGGTAGCTTGCCATTTTTCTCCACTTCCATGGTGAATTTGATGGCGGGATGTCTGGAATTGATGTGGTGTAGGAAAAGGTTCAGAGCTGGGAGGCCATGTGACCAAATGACGAAAGTGTCATCCACATATCTCTTCCACAGGGAAGGTCTGAGGGTGGAAGTCTGGATGGCGTCTGATTCAAATTTCTCCATGAAAATATTGGCTATCACTGGTGACAAGGGGGATCCTATGGGGGTACCCTCATTTTGTTTGTAGAAGGAGCCATTCCAAGTAAAGTAGGTATTGTTGAGGCAGTGCCTAACCAGTGCAGGTGTATCGGGGTCTAGTCTATGTTGGACCAAATTTTCAGTTATTTCAATGGTATCAGGTACTGGGACCTTGGTGAACAAAGAGACCACATCGAAGCTGACAAGGATATCGTCAGGGGACAGTACAACGTCTTTGACCATAGAGACCAATTGTTTTATTTTTTTACCTACGTGACTTTACCGAATAGAACCAAAGAGTATGGATCCTTGCAGTCACGAAAGCTTCAAATCTAGAACCACAGTCTTTGTTCGATGGCGAGCAGCCAAAAAGCCGCCCTTGTTGCTGCTGCTGCTGCGTGGATGAGCAGAGTCGGCGTGACGATGGTTCGTGCTCCGGATCTCGCGGTGCGCAGGGCTGTCAGTGCTTCGACTACAGCCGCGAGCTGACGCTGGTGGCGGCGGCGGGTGCCGACTGCCTGGTGCACGTGTGGAACCGGTACGTGACGTCACGCCCCGTCGTCAGGCTGCAGGGCCACGCCGCGCCCGTGCTGGCGCTCGCCATCGTGCACGAGCGTCGCACGCTCATCAGCTACGGGAAAGACGCCGTGAGAGACTCGCTCCCCTATCTCACCTCTCCTTCCCTCCCCTCTCTCACCTCTCTCTCCCCCTTCCTCCCTCTCCCCCCTCCTCCCCTCCCTCCCTCCCTCCCCTCCCTCCCTCCCTCCCCTCCCTCCCTCCCTCCCCTCCCTCCCCTCCCTCTCTTTTTTCCCCCTCCCTGCCCTCCCTCTCCTCCCTGCCCTCCCTCTCCTCCCTCCTCCCCTCCCCTCCCTGTGCTCTCCTCCCTCTCCTCCCTCCTCCCCTCCCTGTCTTCCCCTCCCACTCCTCCCTCTCCTCCCATCCCCTCCCTCCCATTCCTCCCCTCCCCTTCCTCCCCTCCCCTCCCTCTCAATCATCCATAATGACAATTTTAGTACAACTCGCATTTGTCGAATTCTGATAGCGCAAGGGCGCCGCGGAGGAAGGCGCTGACACAGCGGGCCGTAGTTTCAGTCGGGGGTGGCGATGCTGATGCTGCTGCTACTGTGCGTAATCCCAATTAAACAATGACTACCGAAGCCTTTAAAACCACATGTTTGTGTTCACACCAATAAGACGGTACCTTCGGTGATGTCCCAGGAAACGCTTTGAAGCTCAGTATAAATAGATATTCTGACATTTCGCGTCACTCACCACTTCACGGGTGTAAGGGAATTAAAGTGGGGAGAAATGCGTCTAAACTATACTAGGTCTAAAATAACTCGTTTTTATTTCAGCAGGTAAGGCCCACTGAGCTGTGTAACTGTTTTTCAGAAGCGGCCTGGCCACAAACGATAGCTCAAAGAAGCGGCTTTTCGTGAAGTGTAAATGCACAGCAGCCAAATACCCTCAACACGTGACGTCGATTCTAAATGTGGTGGGGAAATAACCGGAGAGCCCGGATAAAAATCCACGCGGCCACGGAAGACGTACATGTACGTCATCAGAACGGGAAAGAGTGTAACACCTCCCGTATTATTATTATTTCATTAAAACAAAAATCTCCGGTTTAACCCGCGGCTGTCGCTTCTCTCTGTCTCCGTGTGGCGGCGGCGCTTGCCAGGTGGTGAAGGTGTGGGACCTGCAGGAGCAGCACGCGTGCCTGCAGACGCTGTGCGTGCGCTTCCCGTGCGTGCAGCCCGGGCGCACGCTGCGCCACGGCGACTTCCCGCTGCTGCTGCTGCCGCCGCCGCTGCACGGCGTGCTGGCGTCGTGCGCCGACTACGTAGCGCTGCTGCCGCTGGGGGTGCCCGAGGCGCGCGGCGCCGGGATCTACACGCACGGCACGGCGCTGTCGGCCGCGGCGTACAACCCGCTCTTCCGCCAGGTCGCTCGTGCGGATGGCCTTTGGCGAAAACCAAACTTGATTATGACGAGCAGCGTAACGTACGCACGCGTGTGCGTGCGTTGAAATTATTTCCAACCGTGCTAGTCGGAGGCGCTGGGGAAGGAACAGCAAAGTAAACGCAAAAAGCAGTTTTAAAGAAATTAGTTTTTAATCTCGACGATTGAAAGGTGCATAGCTCCGATGGCTTCCTAATGTGGGAAGGGAAGAGCGTTCCAGACGGCCGCAGCAGCGCATCTGAAAGCGCCGCGCGATGCGGCGACCGTTTTTGTTCGATGGCGAGCAGCCAAAAGTCGCTGCTGCTGCGAGGATGAGCGGAGTTTGGCGTGATGATTTACGCTCCTTATTCCCAGTTTTTCTCGCGACTGTCTTCACTCCGTCGTCCGGTCGCCTGGAGCGCGGCGACGCGGAGGCCGCTTCGCCTTCCCCCGGGTTTAACCGCGGACGCGCGGACGTGCGGTGGCGCAGGTGGTGACGGGCGGCGAGGACTCGTGCGTGATCGTGTGGGACGTGGAGACAGGGGCCAAGTGGCTCGCGCTGAACAACGCCCACGGCGAGGAGGAGATCACCTCGCTCGGCTTCGACTCCTCCGGCCGGCGCCTGCTCACGGGCGCGAGGAACGGCACCGTCAAGGTGCGTGTCGACACGGCCACCACCACCAACATCGCCACCACCACCACCACCACCACCGCGCTGGGGCTCGAGGTCAGAAGGGATTTGAATTTTTATTTTTTTAATTTTATATTTGAACGTTGGAGGCGACGGAAATACGGAGGCATACAGCGCGCTTTGGTCTTTACTTTTATTGTCTATCATATATATATATTTTTATTGTGGCGCCGCAGTGGCGAGATGGTAACTTTGCCAGGAGGTCGCGAGTTCAATCCCGACCCTGACGCCTGCTGCTGTATATTTGAAGTTTGCGTGTTTCTCTCCCCGTGGTGGCGTGGATTTTTCTCCGGGTCCTCCCCTATTTCCCTACACATTTACATTAAAAAATCACACTTTTAAAGTATTTGGTTGCTAGAAATGTCCACGTGATGATAAGCCACTTCGTTGAGCTATCCTTTGTGATAGGTCGCTTCTGAAAAAGAGACATACAGCTCAGTGGACCTTAACCAAGCTGCAGGCCATATAGCATTGATATATAACGACTTATTGTTGGTAGCTTAGCTGATTGGAGAATATAGAGTTTATTGATAACATTGAGGTAATTTATATTTTAGTTTTTTATTGGTCCACTATGTAGTATTTATTATATATTGTATTGTATACCCAGCTACTGTGAATAGCTCAGATGTGTAGGCCTTGACTTCAACATAGCCATTTCTGTGACCAGTCACAAGCTAATCACTCAGTTATTTCAATGCTAAATTCGCCTAGTTATTTTAATGCTAAATTCTCCTGTTTGATTTGTACTAGGTGCCTCGGTGAATGTATATCCTCTGACTTTAACATAGCTATTTCTGTGACCAGTTACAAGCTAATCACTCAGCTATTTCAATGCTAAATTCTATGCTAATTCCTTTGTCAAGGGGTGCCTCTGCAGATGTGTATACTTTAACTTAGCTATTTCAATGCTAAATTCTATGCTAATTCCTTTGTCAAGGGGTGCCTTTGCAGATGTGTATGCTTTAACTTTAAAAGAGCCATTTCTGTGACCAGTAACAAGCTAATCACTCAGCCATTTCAATGCTAAATTATATGCTAATTCCTTTGTCAAGGCGCTTTGTTTCTTCTCACACAGCTTAAAGGTCGTGATCTGAGTGTGGCTTTTTCACTCCAGCGCTGTCCTCCAGACAGTCTCGTCCCTTCACCTGATGAAGGCCGCTTGTGTTGTGGCCGAAACGTCGTGAGAATATTATTGTGTTATTTTATTTTATCAATTTATTATTTTATTCTCATTCTACGTGACTTTACCGAAAGAACCAAAGAAGAAAAATAAAAAGTTTTTGGACTCGCGGTCGGAACTGTCGCCGGGTACTCCAGTTTTTCCCATCCACACTTAGCATCGACGTGCGTTGAGAGTATTTGGCTACACATTTCCACGTGCTAGGCCGCCACTTCGTCATTGAGCAATCATTTGTGGCCAGGTCGCTTCTGCAAAATAGCTATTTTCCTCGGTGTGGGCCTTACCTGGTAAAATAAAATATGGCTTGTAGTTTAAATACTTTTTGTCCTTGCGGTCGCAACTGTCGCCAGAGGAGACGCGGCCGTGCGATGCTGCGGCGGTGTCGCGTGGTGGTGGTGGTGGTGGGTTTGTTGTTGTTCCAGGTCTGCTTCAGCTACGACTGCCGGAGCTGCTGGCCAGTCGAGGCACTCGTCTGGCCAGCTCTGCTCGCACCGGCCTCCGACGAGGAACCAGAGGGGGAAGATCCGCGCCGCGAGAGTTCGCGTCAGCTCGCGTGTTCCCCCCCCCGCCGGGGCTTGGGTCTCCTCCGCGTACGTTAACGAGCGCCGGCCGCCTCCCTCTCGCGCTGCGCTGCAGGTGTGGAACGTGCAGAACGGACACAACCTGCTCAAGCTGCAGGCCGTGGGTGCGGCCGAGGTGACGGGTGTGGCGTGCCTGCGCGAGCACAAGCTGCTCACCGTGGGCTGGAACCGCAAGATCCTGCTGTATGACGACTCCAATCCGGACGTGAGTGCCCGCACGAGGCCCCGAATGGCCCCGAATGGCCCAGCATGGCCCAGCATGGCCCACACGGCCCAACGTAGAACCACTGGGGGGGTGGGGGGGGCGGCCGTGTCACGCGGACGGTAAGAGACGTGGCCCACACGGAGACGCTCACGCGAACCTCGATAGACACGCACGCCTTCACCCAACACCACTCACCACTCAAACTCAGCACTCCATTCATAGCCACGCACCCCCGCACCCTACCAGCACTCACTACTCGTCGACTCGCCGGCACCGCCCACACGCATCAGTGCCGGTAGCCATGCTGCACACGGCGTGTGGTCCGGCACTGGCGAGGGTTGGTGGCTCACACAAGTCAAACGCTCTGGGCTGTGAGGTCGCCATCTCTTGCCTTCGCAGGGTATGATGGCAGTACAGCAAGTGGGTTAATTTCAAATTGAATTCCGTCGGTCTCCTCCCACACGCATCAACACCTGTTAACCGAGGCGTCTGCTAGCGGTTCGGCGTTAATTTCACTTAGAGAGGCGTAGCGCCGTTGTTTTTAAAGACATTTCTACTCACCGCAGAGAACCGTGGGGACGCGACCGCCACTCCACGACAGCTGGTGCCAAACTGTGCCACACGCACTCCCGCACGGCCCTTTCTTCCCGATTCCATCCCATTTACCCTTTCCCGTCATTGGAATGGGAAAGGGTAAATGGAATTGAATTTGCCAAACATCCCAATATAGGGCGACAGAGCTTGGGCATTTTTTTTCTTTTGCGCTGGTTCTGTCCCCCCTTCCCTCGCAAAAATGTCTCCCCCCCCCCCACAAAAAAATCACGCTCGTTGCAATGTCTGTGTGACCAATAATGGATGTACAGCGTTGTGGGATGGCGTTGCCATGAACGACGGCGGCAGTGGCGTTGCCTCTGCCGGCGTCGCCACCACACCTCCTCGCGTGGCCAGTGAAGAGCAACGATTCGAGATTCAGCTGCAGGTGACGCATCAATGCGGGGGGGGAGGGGGGGGATAGACGCACGCCCCACGGCCCGGCACTCGTGGCCCCAGGCGCTACTCAGAAGCGAGGGGGGAGTCTCCGCTCGCACGTCAGGCGTCCGCATACAGATTGAAAAACTCATTTCCGTAGAGAAACGCCCCTTTCAGCTTTAGTTTTGTTGTCCTTGCCCCCCGCACCTCCGATTAGCGTGCTTGGCTACGTACGGTAGCGACAGAAGTTCGGTGCCATCGTCCGTGGTTTGTGCGGATTCGGCTGAGCGCTGCTGCCCATCGTCCCGCGGGAGATGGAACCCAGGCGGCGGCGGTCTCACCCATGGAGGCGTTTGTGGGCGACTGTGCGCGCGACCCAGGTGACCGCCCTGAAGGCGGACAGCAGCTGGAAGGGTGGGCAACTGCACAGGGAGGACATCCTGGCTCTGAGCTACTCGCCCGCCCTCGGCCTGCTCGCCACGGCGAGCTACGACGGAGCGATCTTCGTGTGGAGCGCCGAGACGCAGAAGCTCTTCCTGCGCCTGGGCGAGCACGGCTCGAGCAGGTGCCGCCCCCCTACCCCCCCTCCTCCTCCGCGCGTCTCGAGAGCGGTGACGTCTGCTCGGTGAGCGTGCGGGCCGAATGTTCATTTCGCAACGGCGACGCAGAGGATGAGGATGCAAGGTGGGGGGGGGTTGGGGGGGGGGGGGCGCGTTTCGAATGGGTGCGACCGACCTGCCGTGGTGGCGGTGTGACGGGCGTGCAGTCCACGAGGTCGCCGCTGCCACTCGATTATCCCCCTGCGCGGCATTTTGGAGCGGTGGGAAAATTTGACAATGCATCGCCGCAGTGTAAATAGGTACACGCCACGATCAGCAGCTGTTGTTGTTGTTGATCCGAGATTGAATTTGTGAGCCAGTAAAGGGATCCGTGTGTGTGGGGAGGTATGGTGGTGTTAGTTTTGGGTATCTGATGAGCAGATCCTACTAAAACTCGGGGATTCATCTCTCTTGACCACGACTTTATTGCGCGCCATTTGCGCCGCTTCCGTGGTTTCCTTAGGGTGCGCTTGTTCCGTTCTAGTCTGGCTGCGGAACCTCCGAATCGTTTTTAATTCGGCGCCGAGGGATTTGGCGAGGCCGGAGCGGAGCTGCTGCACCGCAACGACCGCGCGGGGACGCACGCTAGGCCCCCCCCCGCCCCCCCCGCGCCCCCCACCCAGTCTCTGCCGACCACGCCGTTCTCTCACGGCCGCTCTCGTCCCGTCCGCACAGACCGCCGAGGCCCGTGGACCGGCTGCTCTTCCTGCAGGCGCGAGCTGCGGACGCGGGCCTGCGCGACGCGGCGCTGCTGCTGAGCTCCGAGGGTGGCTGCGTGCACTGGTGGCAGCTCTACGGGCAGCAGCAGAGGCACCTGGGTACGCGGGGCGCGCGTCAACGATGGCGGGGTGGAGTGGGGTGGAGGAGGGTCACTCGGACCATGATAGTTTACACCCGCGTCTCCGGGCGTGTGCAGAAAACAGTTTGCGATGTTTTTAGAGAGGGAAAGGGGCGGTCGGTCGTAGGCAGAGAGGAATTCTCATCGTAGCAGCAGCAGCAGCGGCGGTGGCGGCTTTTGGCCACTGGCCGTCGAACAAAGACGGTCGTCGCCGCCGCATTGCGAGCTCTTTCAGATGCGCCTCGGCGGCCGTCTGGAACGCTCTTCCATCCGATATTAAGAAACCACTGGGAGCTTTGCACTTTTAAATCTCGATTGAAAACTCATTTCTTTAGAACTTATTTTTGTGTTTCGTTTGTTGTCCTTCCCCTCGCACCTCCGATTAGCACGGTTGGCTACGTGCGGTGAAAAAGTTCAACATGCATATTTAGAAAAGGGTGACTGCAGTGTAAGGCAGTACTCACGTCAACAGGCCACGATAGACACGAGAGGGGGACATCTAAGGGAAAGGTCACAGAAGGGGCCCGTCAGGAAGGTTCCACAAAGGGGGCGTGGCCGGGGCGGAGCAAAGCCACGCTGGGAGTATGAGAGAGGCTCTTCTGTGCGGTACCGACACAGATGGGGAGGTCTTGAGCCTGCACCTGAACATGGGCAGGGAGATGACAGCACGGATGTCTGAGCAGGGGGGTGGGGGGCAGAGGGGAACGGAGTGGCAGCAGCGATGAAAACCAACCGTCCAAGTTCTGCACAAGCCAATTTGTTGAGCCATCATTGGTGGCAGAGTCGCTTCTGAAAAATACATTCATACCTCAGTGGGCTTTGCCCGGTGAGGAATGGGGATGGTTTAGTTATATTTGTATCGTTTGTTGCTGTAATGCTCTTACCCGCCCCAACTGGACCGCTGTGAAATGAGCTTTATAGCTCATCGTATTCCTCCAGTATAAATATTCGGATTCTGGGTGCTGACCGGCACCCGGTGCACGCCATCTCTCTGTCCCCGTCTCTCAGGCTCGTTTTACACTCCTGCCCGGCCCGACGAGCTGGTACTGGGCCTGGCCAGCAGCCACGACGACGGCGTGCTGGTGACGGGCGACACAGCGGGCTTCCTGCGGGCGTGGGACGTGCGGGCCTACGGCCTGCGGGCCGGCGGCACGGTGTGGCTTCCCCCCTCCCACCGCACCTTGTTGTTTTTCTGCAGTCATAATAATCACCGCCACAGTATGTTCACGTACGTACGTCATCGGAACAGGAAGAAAAAACTAAAGCCGTCGGTGCCGAGCTCCCACAAGGCCAGGCGGGAGGGTGTGTGACAGTTTGGCGCCAGCTGTCGTGGAGTGCGGCCGTGTCGCTGCAGTTCTCCGCGGCGAGCGCAATGTCTTTAAAAACAACGTTGCTATGCATCTCTAAATAAAATTTATGCCTACCGCTTGCACGTTCCGAGGGTCAACGGTCAACGTGACCCGAGGTAGTTTCCTGCAGTGAAAATTACGATTCGTCATAATTGCGTTTTTTGGTTTTTGGACCACGTAGTGATCTGGCCCAAAAAGACCCTCCCACCAACTGAACACAGCTAAAACAAATATAAATCGTCACGTGCACAATCCTTTAAAAACCCACCAATGGATATTGTTTTGAGTTCAGCGGCAAGTTCTCCCGATGCAGTTTCAAGCGGAACGTCGCACCCTTTTTTAGGCGCCAAGTTTTGCGTTGAGAATTGTTCAAGTCACCGCGTGCCATAGTCCCGTCGCTGCCGCTCGGACGCGGTAAATGTGGGGAGGACGCGCGGGTGCTCTGGGCACCAGATGAGCGGTGGGGTGCCGTGGTTGAGCGACGAGTTGAGTCGTTGCTGCAATGGGAGCCACGGCCCGCACGGCGATGTCGCACAGCGAGGCGGTCGCACGCTCCAGCTGTGGCGCGTTCGCCATGGAGGTTCGCGGTTTGATTTTCTGGCAGGCCGCTCACTGGTTAGGACCGCTGGAGGATTTAGCCGTGCAATACCAAGAAGGCCATTGTGTGCCGGCGTCACGATCCACATTTGGCCAAATCCTAAAAATTATCTGCAAAGTACTCGCTTGGGAACACACACACACACACAGCAGCAGAAATCGCCCCCTACTGGCAGACTACTGCCCGCTCGCAGGCCACCTGTTTAAGTCGCTCACTGCGTGTAAAGGGCTGCGAGACGCTTTATTGTGAAGTACGTAGAACTTCTGCACCGCGCGTAGCCAACTGCGCTATATGGAGGTGCGGTGGAAGAACAATGCAAAACACAAAATGCAGTTCCGAGAGAAATTAGTTTTCAATCTAGATCAGGGGTGGGCAAATTTTTTTGACTCGCGGGCCACAATGGGTTCTAAAATTTGACAGAGGGGCCGGGCCAGGAACAGATGGATGGAGTGTTTGTGTGAACTTAATATAAATGACGTGTAAAAATCATTACATGAAAGGATTTGGCCTTTAACAGGTAGCAAAGCATTTATTTGCAAGGCAATTTAACAAATTGCACGAACATGAATACAAAAAAAATGTCGTAACTCCCGGTCAAAGTGCGCCATCTAAATGGGGAAATGGGGGCAATTACAGGAGAAAGGTAAAATTTAATTTAATAATAATATTTGTACAAGTTCGGCGGGCCGGATTAAAAAGCCCAACGGGCTGTATACGGCCCGGGGGCCGTACTTTGCCCATGTCTGATCTAGATCTTAAAGTTCACAGCTCCAATGGCTTCTTAATATCGGAAGGAAGAGCAATCCAGACGGCCGCAGAAGCACGCGCGACGCGGTGATCATCTTTGTTCAATGGCTAGCCAAAAGCCGCTGCTGCGAGGCCGACCAGAGTTCACGCTCCTCGAGATCGGTGGCGGTATCGCAGTTCATTTGTGGCAAGCACTCCGCGTGTGACGAGCGCGACGAGCGGGCGATGGATTCTGAGCGGGTGGATGCGGCTGGCGCAGGAGGACGATGGCGGTGCGGAGGCATCGCCGCCCTGCCTGCGCTCCTGGCTGGCGCACACCCGAGCCGTGGTCCACGCCGAGGTGCTGCGGCTCGACTCGACCTCCTACGTCATGAGCGCCTCCGGCGACCGCACGGCCAAGCTGTGGACGCTGCTCGGCGAGCCTGTCGGCACCTTCGGGCAGGAGCGGCCCTGGGACCTGAAGGACCCAGCGACGTACGGAGCGCAGCTGGCGCCCGTCGCGGACAGCCAGGAGGCCGGACCCGCGCAGGGGCCGCGGAAACCCTCTCCTCGCTCGTCGGAGACCGGAGAGCGGGAGACCGCCGGGCGCGACGCCGGGCGCGACGCCGGGCACGACGCCGGGCGCGACGCCGGGTCCTCCCCGGATAGTCTGGCGGTGGCGGAGCAGGAGGAGAGATCTCATGGCAAGACGCAGGAGTCTCGCTCGCCCAGCGAGACCGGTAAAGCTGCTCCCTTGTAGCCTTAGACTATTGGGGTAAGTTGCTGTTAGAGAGTAGCACCTGTGAAGGCCGGAATAGCACACGGCAGGGGGGTGGGTGGCCAGCACCACGCCCGACCGCCTTCATCTCCCCAGTGGTGATGTTTACACACCGCGCTAGGTACTCAATTGAGGCCGAGTCGACCTAGGGGAGGCCCAGGTCTGGTTCAGATGAACGTCGCTGGCATCGGTGGCAGAGAGCTGGAATCAAACTCGGGTCGCTGGGTTCGCAGCGCGTTAACCACGCGAACCACTCCCCATAATCACGGACACCAACAAATAAAATGGAACCAAATGGTAAAATTTACACAAAATCATGGAGCGATGCATGCTGGCAATTGCACAGGAGTGGTAGAAAGGGAACATAGATCGGAGAACAAACACCGTAGTGCTAATCAGTGAAAGCAAGTAGGCTCGGGCAGGACATGTCACAAGAGTGCACGATGGGGGGTGCGGCGGGTGTAGATTATCGGCTGGAAGCCTGGTGACGAACGCGATGTCGGTGTGCTTGCGTTGCCAACAACCGCGCATGGCGTCCTCTCCGCTTGTGCCGACCCCGCAGAGCTGCTGGAGGAACAGAAGCGGAGCTCACGGAGCGAGGAGGAACCCACGAACGAGGACGCGGCGGCGGTCCGCCTTGGCACGGTGCGCACACGGATAGCACCCGCTCGCGAACCCGCCACCTCGCGCGTCCCACGGTGCCGCTGCTGACAGTTACGCGTCACTCGGGATCGGAGTGGGAGCTGCGAATGTTCACGGTGCCGCCGTCGTTGTGCGTCACCCAGGATCGGAGCGCGAACGCGTCGGGAGTGGCGCGGCAGGAGCGCCGTGCTCGCTACTCGGCCGTCAACATCGCCAAGACGGCTCGCTTCGAGTCTCTCTGCTCCCCATTCCAAGCCCTCGTCACGCCGGTGAGGAGCCACCACCATATTAACCCCTTTCCGATGACGTACATGTACGTCTTGGGAACAGAATCGATGCCGAACGGCATCGCAATTAAAAGGGTAGGGCGTGGCAGTTTGGCGGCAGCTATCACAGTGCGGTCCTGTCGCTACAGTTCCTCTGCGGCGAGTACAGTACAAAGTATTTAAAAAGATTAAAATTGGACCAACCGCTTGCGCTTTCCGAGATTGAGCGGTGAACGGGACCTGCCCTGCAACTTGCAGTTGTCTCGGAACGGTAAAGGGTTAAAGGTCCTTCCTCTTCAGATCCTTGTTTTGAGGTGGGGGGGTAGGTGTGCAGGATTAGCGTGTTACACTACGAACCCCACGACCAGCGGGGGAGGTGGAAAAAGTGTAATCATCTTTTGGAGCTCAAACCCAGACAGCTCCATCGTATGTACCTGCATGTAGAGCTTCTTTCGCACCGTAAGTAGCCAACCGCACTAAAAATCGGAGGTGCGTGGGAAGGACAAACTAAAAAAAACCTCAAAAATCCCCGACGCTCGGGAACGATGACCGCACCGCCCGCGGTGCTGACGTCACTGTTGCTCCGTGGCCCCAGGAGGTGGTGGCCGTGCAGCTGCCGGCCGACTTGCCCATGACGGCGCGGATGCGGAGCCGCGGGGTGAGCTGCCGCTCGGAGGGGGAGCTCCGGGCCCTGCGGCTCAAGAGCCTCGAGTGGGAGCAGGAGGCGCCGGCCGAGGGAGTGGCCGCCCAGGAGCACCCATCCGTGCGGCCGGGGCCTCCGCAGAGCCGCAGATAGCGGGGAGGGCAGCCCCTCCCCCCCCCGCCAGACGCCACCCCGTCCGCCAAAGTCAGCGGCAGACCGTTAACCGTCGTTATCTTCTTGCTTACCGTCGTGAGTTTTTGCCATCTCGTGTGTTCACGAATTAAGACTTCCCCGTAATGCAGGTGGCTCTCGGTGGAGTTCAATGTCCTCGCTGAGAGTTGCTCAAGTTTCTGACTATCCTTCGGTCAGCTTTAGGGACCATTTCCATCGCCCGGTGCCCCTTTTCCAGAAGAAAACGCGATCTTCCCCCACTCCCTCTTGGGAAAACAAAATCACCCTCCACTGTCTCGGGAATCCCTTCCTCACGTCATGCACCAATACTCCAGGAATAAAAATGGTGTTGTCAATGCAAGGGGCTCTCACAAGACCGTTTTTACAAATAATCATCGTGCGTAAACATGTAAATTAAATTATACTGGAGTCAGGGCTGGCGACTTTTATATCCTCCTATTGCCATAGCTTGCAACGTTGGGGGGGGGGGGGGGGGGAGGGTGGGGGGCGGGATGGATTCCATAAAACACCGGATACTGGATTAGAAGACGCTCCTGGAAAATAAAACGCACCCTAAAAATACGTGCCTAGTGTCAATAAACTTCCAAATCGGGGTCACACACAGCTACCATATTAACCACGGTGGGGGGGGGGGCCCATGGAGTAAGTTCAGTTGGGAATTGTGGGTAAGGAGCGAGCGAGCGGCGAACGTAGTTCATGAGCAATGTCGCCAAGGGCACGGTTATTTCGTTCGTCACAATCGAAATTTCGTAGGTGATAATATTTAGAAGTGTATGCACACACACACGGGAGATATTTAGCACGCTCGTGTATATTCCCCTACCGAAATATAAAAAAAACGGTGAGATAACCGGCGGCATAAAACGAGACGCAGATTACGAGCCATCTCGTAAAAAGTCAACATTTTTATTAAATAGATTTTTCAAACTTTACATATAAAGAACGCAGTGTTTATTACTATAAGTGCTGTAAATGACAGGGGGTGGGGGGGGGGGGGGTGAAGTTGCCGGAATCGGCTCGTGGCTGCCGGGCGCAGAGATTTGGGACAGACACGTGCGGTCACAAACAGTCGCAAAGGAACAACATCAACACCACACACACACACACAGATCCACGACCACGCGAGGACGTTACACGCGTCCTCGCCTCACGCGACCGCTCCACTCTTCACCTTGCACGGGAAAAAAAAAGATACATACGACGGCCACTCAAATTTCATGTTAACGTAGGAGGAGGAGGAGACGCAAGCCCAGGAGGAAATGCGATCTCTCACTGCGCCGTCTTCACCCTCTGGTTTCTCATCAGCGGCCGGTGCGAGCAGAGCGCCTCCGCCGAGTGCCTCAGCTGCCAGCAGCTCCGGCAGTAGTAGCTGAAGCAGACCTGGAGCATCAAAACCCACCACGCGACACCGCCGCAGCATCGCACGGTCGCGTCTCCTCTGGCGACAGTTGCGACCGCAAGGACAAAAAGTATTTAAACTACAAGCCATATTTTATTTTACCAGGTAAGGCCCACACCGAGCAAAATAGCTATTTTGCAGAAGCGACCTGGCCACTAATGAGTGCTCAACGACGAAGTGGCGGCCCAGCACGTGGAAATGCGTGGCCAAATACTCTCAACGCACGTCGATTCTAAGTGTGGATGGGAAAAACTGGAGGACCCGGACGAAAATCCATACCACAGGGAGAACAATGTAAACTCCAAATACAGGCCGTGGGGTCGGAGTCGAAACCACAACCTCATGTATACCAGGCGAGGTAGTCTATGCTCTGTATGGTGAGTGCTTTAAAAAAAATCAGTTTACGTAGTCCATCAGAAATCCTCTGCTCACTGTGCAGTACACACTTTGGCTTAGATTCCCTTCTGCACGTCGACTTCCTAACCCTGGCACAGTCCTCCACTGCCATAGCTTCACTTTCACACCGACTACACAAGCTAATGAGCCAAGGCCATCGATACTATCTGGGGTGGTGCAATACACGAGCGTCCACCACACGCTGTGTCCCCCATGGGCAGGAAGCTTTGCGTATGTACCCGTCGGTTTTATTAGACCCAATTCCTGTTCATTCTCAGGTTCCAACGACGTTGATCGCATTGGCTTGTTTTCCCAAAAACGACACTCCAAAACACATTCCGGTATCCTTTAAAATGACAGTGGATCATAAACGCAAGCTAGTACATTGAATTTGCTACGAGACATTTGTGATCACCCTTGCGGTGGGGATAGTGATTAGATCAATGGCCTTGAGAACCTTTACTGCAGCCTTTGGTTTGTAATCATAAAATGTAATGTTACTAAATAGAGGGTTTGCTAAACAAAGTTGCAACTTGCATGCCCATGCTTAATTTGCGTTACGACAATTTACCTTCGGGGAAAAAAAAAAATCTGACCATGGCCTCACACCCCCCCCCCCACCACTCCCCACACCCCAGAGAGGGTGAATATCACGCACCCCCACGGGGTGTGCGTGCACCCCAGGTTAAGACCCCACCGTGAAGCCGGTATAGAAGGGCGATTACCGTGGCACGGCAGAAGAAGTTTCCAGGGCTGTGGCTGCAGACTTGGCAAACGGAGTCTTCCAGGTACGGGTCGATCTGGATCTGCAAAACGAGACAACCGGCTCGCGTTGATGCCACGGGCAAGCGGTCCTCACCACGGAGTTCTCGGCATCGCGAGACGCACTTCAAAAGGAGTTGTGCCGTGTGTCATTAAAGTTACACAAGGCTGCTGTCGCACACACGCAGTAGAGCCGCTTTTTGACGACGGTGATCGGTTTCACGAAACCACTTGTCAAGTGTATTGGTCGTTAAGCGAGTATTAGGAAACGCACGTCAAAGGCTTAATTCGTTCCAACCCCCTCTCCCCTTCCAACTCGTGTGGTCAGAGTGGGAGGAGTAGACCAAAGTGCCCCTCTAGAACCTCGGGGGAGTAAGGGGGGGGGGAATTTTCCACCAGCGGTTGTAGAGCTCCATCCACTTCCACCGCCGATGCTGTGGACGATGCGCTTCGTCGCCTCGGGAGGTGTCATCAAGTGGCGCGGAATCATTTTTGGTTTAAAAGCACGCGAGTAGGGCCCTCCCGCGACCATGACATCAAAAACGTTTTTTTTGCAGTTCGAGCGCAGAGATACGTCTCGTTAACCGCGAGACCACCCGACACAGACAATCGGTCAAGATTCGTCACCAATAAAACGTGCCAATTAGTTACAACCTCAGCACATCGGCCGGCGTGTTGGAGTGTAAACACAACATTTACACAATTCGAGTCCGACGTTTCGGTTGGTAATTAACAACCAGCTTCAACGGGCGATCTGCCAGAATTGAGATCCGGGGGGGGGGGGGGAATCTCTCAAAAAAAGACCTTTGTATTTTCGGTTTAGGACACAATTAACCTTCTTGGTGAACTTTGTCGTCTTTATTTCCACGATGGCGGCCGTCACGGCGTTCATGTAACTCGTGGGGTTGTTGAAGGTTACGCGGCCAGACCCTGAGAAAACAAATCGAATTGTGACGTCAAAAACAGCCAGCTCAAAATATTCTCCGGTCGAGGCTTTCCGGACCCAAGGGCTCAAAGCAATAAGCGTGTTAAACCTCACACACGCGTCCCCTCCGTCAGGTTGCCGGTTGGGTCAAACATGCCAACGTTAGGACCACAGGAGCTTGGGTCAATTGCCGATACCGGTTGTGGCGTCATTCCTGCCAGCCGATGGGTTTTCCTGCACCTCCATGCCAACGTCCAAATGCGCACGTCAGAAGTTTTTCAGCGTTTTCACGAGGCGCGTATAACACGCTAGATATATATTCTGAACACAAAAGCGGAACTTTGGAGATACGATGCCCACTCTGCAACGACGGGATCCCCAAGAAGGAAGTGTCGATGGCAAACTACGCATGGTGGGGGGGGGGGGGGGGGGGGGGAGGTTATCGTACCTATGGGGTACTTGTACTTGTCGGTGTCGATTCCAGCATAGACGACGCCTCCAAACAGGTCGTTCATGATCACCGCCAGCCCCTCAGCGTTGAGCATGCCGTGCAGAGCGCCCACAAACACCGTCTTGTGGCTCTCGAGCCGCGGGGACGGGAAGCAGGTGTAGTTACTGTCGGCCACCACCCAGGGAATCACCTGCACCTACAGAATAAAGATCCCCCCCCCCCCCCCGTACAGCCTTAACAGACTGATGGGGCAAGTGCTGTTAATCGAGCAGCACTTACGAAGGGCGGAGCGGGCACACGAGGGGGTGGGTGACCGGCACCATGCCCAACTGCCTCCGTCTACCCTGTGAAGATATTTCCCTCCCCCCACCCCCCCCCCCCGCTTACATATTGCACAAGGGAACTAATTTGAGGCCGAGTCGACCGAGGGGGGAGGCCAGGAACCGGTTCAGGCAATGGTCACTGGTGGTGGCCGCGAGCGGGAATCAAACTGGGCTGGCCGGGGTTCGCAGCGCACCAACCCGCTGCTACACTACCGTTCCCCCACTGCACGTACACACACAGGTACACAACACCGCAAGCCTGGCTCTAGCGCCTCCTCTCAGAAGGGGGGGGGGGCAGTAGATCTATTCCTTGGAGGGGGGGGAGGGCGCAGATTAACAGTGATTATACCAATAAGGAGTGAACTTGCGTGGGCTAAGGGACATTGAGTGGTGGAAGGCCCATCCCAGCAATCCCCCCCCACCCCTCGCCCCATCGGCTGAGACATCAAATGCTGCACCTGCTGTGGATGCTTGGCCAAAAGCACCCTCGTGGTGTTGGTGCTTGCGCGGCACGTGAACATCGCGCGCAAGCGGGGGAAAGCCTGGTTCTGGTTTTGTTTTTGCCAGTTGATGAAGGCAGCGGGTATTGACGAGTGTGCCGAGTTCGTCGTCGTTATCTCTAACTCACCACCACAAAGAGCCTGTGGGCACTGCGTGGTACACGCGAACACGGGGCAGAGGAGCGACGCTCGCAACGACGAGCGGAAGGGGCCGGGCAGATTAAAACGCAGCAGATTGGCACACAGTAGGGAGGTGGTGCGCATCTGGCAGTCAGATCTGGTCGGTCAACCCACAACACCTGGGGGGGGGGGTCTTTGTCCCGTGACCACCCCCCCCCTCCCGCCGTGAGAAAGCCTTCGGCAACTCCACAAGGTCTCCACCGTGCACCATACTTGGCACAAGCTCTATGGTGATGTTTCACCGCCACTTAGTGGCGAATGGCAGCCGTTCACACATGTAGAACTTTGTTTGCACTGTACGTAGCCATCTGTGCCGAATTGGAGGTGCAGGGTAAGGACAAGAAACTAAACACAAGCAGTCCTAAAGAAATGAGTTGTCAATCCGGATGTAAAAGTGCATAGCTCCAGTGACTTTCGAATATCGGAAGGAGGAGCGTTCCAGACGGCCGCGGAAGTGCATCTGAAAGCGCGCGATGCGGTGACCGCCTTTGTTCGACGGCTCGCAGCCAACAGCCGCTGCGAGGATGACCATCGGAGTTCGCGTCATGAAGGTTTATGCTCCTTGGCGAGATCAGCAAGGTATTGTGGGTCACATCTGTGGCAAGCGCTTTGTGCGCAATGAGCGCGACATTCTAAGTGTGGTTGTGGGGGATGCGGAGGTGGCGATTTGGCTACGATGTCAAATCGACGATCGTAAAAATAAAAAAAAATAAGACGACGCAAGCTCGGGTACCGACCACTTTGCTCTTCATTTTGCGGCTCGACACCTCGTAGTAGTACATGTTGCAGCCGAAGGCGTTGTTGTAGTTGGTTTTGCAGGCCTGCAGTAGGGCGCGTATCGACCGTTCGTGCTCAAACAGGATGTACACGTAGCCTGACGCAGAGAGAGCCGCAACACCGCACGTTACACGCAAGCAGAGAAGCAAACGACATCGTCGATATCTTCACCTTATCGACAAACGCTTCGTTGCAACATGTTTAGGTTATGCTACGTAATGATCTGGCCTAGTGTCGTTAGAACCTCCACCACCACCACCTTGGCACAACCAAACGAATCAAATTGTCACGTGGGCAGGCATTTTTTGAGCCAGTTGTTATGGTTTGGGCTCACCTCAAAGTTGAAAAATTCTCACAACCACGTTCAGCGCTTTGATACGACGTTCCTGGATCTTGTTCAGAAGATGCTCGACGCAGTTTCAAGCAAAACTTCGGATATAAATTGTTAAGATTAGTTGTGAAAATAGTTCAGCTTGTCGACAAGCCGACAGATTAACATTCGTGTTAAACGTGTCTACACGTGACAATCTAATATGTTTATCAGCTTATGGTACGGGTGGCGGAGGGTCTTTGGATAAATCTTAGCCCAATCATTTTATGGAAAATCCAGAAGTCAATTATGAATCATAATACTTGGCTGTGGAAACATGTGTGCTATATAGAAAAGGCTAATTTCAGCCACAAAAGTCTGGATCACTGCGAAAATATTTTGGCATGCCACGTCCATCTTACCTTATTTTGTTCTAATAGGATTATAGGAATGTAGGGCATGAAAATCTAGGATTATTATGGACAGGCATAGCTTGTACCCCTGTGGTAGTGCCGCCTTACACCACTAATCCTCATCCCAAAAAAGCCTTGCAGCGTTCCGGAAAATATTAAGACATTTCAGTTTAACACGTGACCAATATCATCCAGAGGGTTTCAGGTTAATCGCGTGAATGTAAACGTGTCGTTAAAGCCGCCACCACCGGACACAGCCAATAAGGGTTGTCACGCAAGCAGAACGTGCCAATTCGTTGCTAGTACAGCAACACCGGTGTGTTGGAGAGTAAACCCACTACAATCCGAGTACGACGTTTCGCCAGTAATTAAAAGCAGCCTCATCAGGCGACAGCCAGAGTTTGTAGAGAAATCCTCCCGTTTCGGCCTTCAGAGGGGATCAATGTGATGTCGTCACTTGTGAGGCAATCACGTGCCAAGGCCAGAGAGGGAGGGGGGGGGTTTAATGTGTGCATATAAATTACAATCGATATCCATTACTGGTTGAGTTATTCATAGAAATTGCAGCTACGACCAGAGCATCGTCTACAAATGCAATGAAAATCATTTAAACTTGACAAAAAATATATATATGTATTGTATATATATGGATTCCGTTAGGGTCTTACTTTCAATGACGTCACACTCGTCACCTGCACGATACCTTTGGGGAACGCTTCCTTGCGAGTCGTCTGCTGCTTCCCATCGCGCACCGGCCACTCGACCACCAGAGGCCCAAAGTTCTTCACGGAGTTCAAGATCCCAGCTGGCACGCGAACAACAACAACATCAACTCATCGTCGATGGGAGTTGGCCAAACCATCATAAGTAATAATTTAAAAAAAAACACGCTTTATTGAAATGTACCGTGCTAGTAATGGAAGAACTCCACGACTCCAGTAAGTGACCCGAAGCTTGCCACAACGTAAGGGGGACCATGGCCAATTACAGCCGTCAGTTTACCGTGCACAATTAGACCCAACCCGAACCATAACATATAAAAAAGAATGTATATAAAAATATATATTTTTAAATTATAGAATATAGTAATTGTCATCAGTATGACATTAGCATACCAAGTTTGCAGTCGATACCACACTGGGAAGTGGGTTAAAATTGACTTACAAGATTTGAGGATACAACAATGAAAGCGTGTAAAAACAAACTCGTCGGTGGGAGTTGACCAAACCATCATAAAAATACGAGGGACACGCAGAGCGTGGGGGGCAATTGTTGGCACCCGCGTTTGGCTTCCCCCCCCCTCTCTGCTCGCCTGTGGCTTTCCCGCACCCCCCCCCCCCCCGAATCTAAGAACGCGAGCTGCCCTTGACGAATGCGCGTGTTTAATTCTAAGAAATAATTTCACACGAAGGCTCCTTCAATCAACGTTGGCGCGTTTCTACATTGCCGCGAATTTACAATGGTGGAGGGGGGAGGGGGGCACTGAACGGACCATTGCAATGTAAAAATCCCGGGATTCGTACAGACCCCCCCCCCCCCCCCCCCCCCACACACACACACACAAGCTTAGACCCTGCTTTATCCCCAGATGGTAGACTCTATTCTTATTTTTTCATACTTTGATACTGGCAAAATAGGTCCCATTTTGTAGCTGCTCACGCCGAGCTAGAAATGCTCCGATTAGTGCATCGTGTTTGTGCCGTTCGCCTTTTGGGCGTTGCTCTCTGGACTGACACTGGTGAGAAACTAGGACCTAAAGAAGGCCGTCTCTGGTGTAGGCCAATCGGTTTCAAAAGACAATGCAGACATTATCATCAGAGCGTGTTTGTTTGTATGTTCACCACAAGTACGTGTGGTTAATGCAGACAGGATTCCTCGCAAAAGGTTTTATTTGGTGTTTGAACATCTGTTTTATTTCCATAAAGGGTAAAATCCATTCTTGTTTTTTCATAGACGAAACATTAATATAAGCGAGGTAATTGCCTGTGAGGTCATGCTTGTAAATCATCAAAAACATCGTATCTAGGCCGAATTTTCGGATTAGTTTATTTTTTTGTAATACCAACAAAACAATCGATTACCATATCCCACGCACAGGCAACGAATACCTAAGCCTTTAAAAACCAGACGTCTATAGAGGTCACACCAATTAGGACGGCACCGCCAACCTTCGGTGATGTCCCAGGGAACTCCACCCATGAACACCTTGCAGGAATAGGTGGGGCTTTGGTGGCTTCTCTTGGGAAGCTTGCCACTCCACCCGCATTTGGCGACGCTCACTACTGCACCGAGCACCGCCAGGGCAGACACAATCCGCGGGTGGCAAGGGAATCAAAAACTCGGGAGAAACGCATCTAAACCAAACGAAAATTGTATTTTACCAGATAAGGCCCAACACGAGCTATGTAGCTCTTTCAGAATTGACCTTGCCACAATAGCCCAACGAGATGGGCTTATCACCACGTCGACATTTATAGCAGCCAAATATTCGAAAACGTACGGCGATTCTAAAATGGGAAGGGGATAACCCGGAGGACCCGGGAGAAAAATCCACACGATCACGGGGTCGGAGACGCGCAAACTCCAAATATATTAGGCGTCAGAGGTCGAGATTGAACCCACGCCCTCTTTGCATACCAGGCGAGGCAGTCAATCTCGCCACCGCGGTGCCCTGGTAGTGATATTAGCCAGGGCTGGATGAACACACAGGCATTGGGCCCTCATTTTGGCCCTGCATTGCACAGTGAAGTAACAGCAGAGCTACGGTAGCGCGGTACAGTGATCGGATCTTTTTTTGTCTTTTGATTGACGACGACGACATCATTTCATGACCGCTGCAACAAGCTGCAAAACACTGCCAAACGTGCTAACCGCACCATCGTGGTATCATCATCGTGGCAGCGACATGAGGGGGGAGGAAGAGGAGACGGGCACCTGCAGACTTCTTGTGCAAGAGCGCCTCCTTCTCGATGTGACAGGCCGGCAAGCCAGAGGCCGCCGCATCGGCCGGGGCGACCGGCCTGGCCTCGATGACCCGCGGGACCCTCCCGGTCGGCCCGTCGCGCGACTTTCTTGTCACCGCCGGAACAGAAGACCTCTTGGTGGCCGCTGGCGCCTCCTCCTCACCTCCACTCCTGGATAATTGCCGACTGCTCAACTGCTGCACATTGTAGAACCGGACACGGGGAACAGCGCAGGTTTTTTGCAGCCAACATTATAATTAGGGATTTGAAATAGATTGCTTTTTTTTTGGGTTAAGCCACGTATTGATCTGGCCAAATGTGTTGTAAAGCCCTCCACCACCTGACCACAGCCAAACATTTATTTTACGAATCACCTTGTATAAGCGTTTAACGCGCCAAATTAGAGCGTCCGTTCACAATTCTGACGACCAACATTTAGCGATGGATAGATTCAGCTTGACACTGCGCAAAGTGCCTTCAGGACGCAATCCAGTGTCAGGCGAAGTGTTCAAATTGGACAAATTTGGCAGCGAGAATTGTTCTCCATCTGTCAACGGCAAGCCGAAGCAATCATAAAGTGGCACTTTGTAAGGAATAAAAAACACCCTTGTACACGCGACAAACAAGTTTGTAAAAATCTTCTTCCGAATTGGGAATCTGAATGACAAAATCGTGGAATCCCTGGGTCACCAATATTTCTTGCATGCTGGAGCAAAAACGCATCGACATCCGAGCCAATGGTCACGTTAATCCATTCACAAAAATTTTACGTCTCCCGGGGGGGGGAGGGGAGAAATGAAAGGGAGTAAATAAAAACTGGCTGATCCTAACATCTCGTTTATGTTATTTCTTTCAGTTATAACCTCCCCCCCCCCCAACTTCCCCCCTTTCTCCCCCTTGCCTAGTTATCCCCCACTGCTTCCCACCGTTATCCCTCCACCCTTGCAGGGTAATCAACACGGGCAACTTAAAAAATCGTGGCCCCCACTTGGGGGAGGATTACTCAGTGGAACGGGTTGCGGCTGATTTATTCCGCGTGTGCGCGAGTATCACACGCCCCCCCACTCAGACTCCTGTTCTTTGGGGTTCATGAATGATAAAAAAACACCACGACACAAATGAAAACCTCAAAAGCCCTCACCGTCATTTTGCAGTGCGGCCCCAACTTGGCCACGTCGACGTCACCAACTGCCTCCTCCGCGAGCTTCCACTGCGTGCCGGGGCCGCCGCCCCCGCCGCCGCCGAGGAATTCCGAAATGGCGAAACGGAGCAGCTCCACGTCGACAGTCGACGCTCCTCGGACCTCCTTCCCGTCGGCCTCCGCGTCGCCACCGTCGCGCTGGGCCGAATCCATCTTCCGTGGTGCGACGACGACGACGTTCCCTTCGCCGTCATCCGCGTCTTCCCGTTGCTGCTGCTGCTGCTGCCGCTGCCGCCGCTGCGGTTTCTTCGCGCAGTCGGCAGAGGGCTGGCACGCCGTGCCCGGGCACGGTTGCGGCGGCGATGCCGCCTGCGACGAACGCGCGGAGCCCTCGGACGGAGCTGCCGGGCACTCGGCTGGCGTGCATAGACCTGCGTCGGACAGAGCGCGCGCGTGCGCGCTGCAACATTGGCAATCGGCTTCCCCAACGAACGCATTTATAAAAAGGTCACAAAGTGCTTGCCACACAGATGAACCAGACAACGTCTTGTGGCAAGGCGCGTAAACATTCATGCGAACTCCGGTCATCCCTGCAGCAGCGGATTTTTGGATGGCCGTCGAACGGAGAGATGGTCACCGCATCGCGCGCTTTCAGATGCGCTTCTGCGGCCGTCTGGAATGCTCTTCCTTCCGATATTAGGAAGCCACTGGAACCATCCACTTTAAAATCTTAGATTGAAAAATAATTTCTTTATCACCGCTTTGTGTTTAGTGCGTTGTCCCCCCCCCCCCACACCTCCGATTAGCACGGTTGGCTACGTAAGGTGCAAAAGAAGTTCAACATACACAGAGCACGGGGATCGTGGTGGAGGGGAGCCAGCGAGGGGGTACACGGCGCGTGTGGGTACCCAGACATGCTAAACTATGCCGCCACCTGCCACACAGCCAATGCCGCTACTCAGTGGGGCTGGGTGCTGTAGTGGTGGTGGGTGGGGTGGGTGGTCTGTGGAGGGGGTGTGTATAGCTTCTTTCGCACCGTACGTAGCCAACCGCGATAATTGGTTAGCTATGTACGGTGGACAACTGAACGCACAAAACACTTAAAAAATGGTAGTCTGTGGGTGGTGGTCTGTGGGTGAGTGGGTGAGTGGTAGTCTGTGTGTGGCGGTCTGTGGGCGAGTGGGTGGAAGTCTGTGGGTGTGTGGCGGTCTGTGGGTGAGTGTGTGGAAGTCTGTGGGTGGGTGGCGGTCTGTGGGTGAGTGGGTGGGTGAGTGGCAGTCTGTGGGTGAGTGAGTGGGTGGAAGTCTGTGGGTGGGTGGCGGTCGCACACAAGCCGCTCAGGTTCAGGTTGTTGTCGAGGAGCGCGTTGATCTTGTGGAACACGGCCGCGTTCCTGCACGAGGAGCAGGAGGCGGCGGGGTGCACGGGCGCCACCAGCATCTTCATCGCCGCCGCCGCAGTCATCTCCTGACCCTGCAGCTGCAGCGGCTGCGCGTCTCCTCTCCCCGCAGGACAGCAGCCGAGGCTGGGCATCGCGCGGGCACCGCGGGGCTCACCTCCCTGGCCAGACTCACCCCGCGGAGGGAGCGGGGCAGGGCGTCTCCTGCGGAGCTGTGCGTGCGAGCTAAACAAATCTGGTGGTAACAGCAACAATAATGATAACAAGACGACGATAACGGGTGACTTGTGTATAGTAGCGACCGTAGTTTTTGTAACGCGCTCAGAATTTTTTTTTGGCACGGAGGTCGCGGGGGAAAAAAAAAACGGCAGACGAGTGTTTTGTGCAGCCCGCCAGAACCGACGATTTTAAGGATTGCCCAAGCTCTGGCGATCCTACATTGAGATCATCGGCCACCCTATTATGGCGGTGGCGGCAGCCCGAATGCTTCTTTGTGGGACTTGCCGTGTGAGCGACGGTTCTGTATTTTAAATCTTAAAGAGCGCGCGTAATAAGGGCAGACAGAGATTACAATGCCGCTCGTGTACAACAGAGCGTTCACATTCGCGGTGCGGATGATTCACACGGCGGTGGTAGGACTTTCAAACGCGATGTGGGTCTCTACGGTGTCCCCGACTACCGCGATAACGGGGAGGGAGGGGTGGAGGGAGTCATCATCTGCACCCGAAGTCGAACCTCCACGATTGGCGCGGATGGCTTACGTACGGGTTTTCGAAAGACGTTCAACAACACGGGAGAAACAACAACCCGGTCCGCTGTCCGTCATGCAATCGGACAACTCAAATGACAGCGCTACGGGACTGTCCCCGGCTGATATTAAAGCCACGGGGTTGAGCAAAAGCAAAGCGCTCGCAGTTCTTTTGAGCATCGCGGTCTGGATAAGGCCGAGGAGCTGTTTTGCACAATGCTCGTTGCTAAAGAAGAAAGTTTGTTTACCGGCCTGCGCCAAATGCTTCTGTTGCGAGAGATTTTTTTTGTGAATCGCAGCGGTACGGATCCGAGATTCAATCAGCGGTGACAGCGGTCGCGATGCAAACGGCGAACATCGCCGGTACCGTTGCTGCGCACGTGCCAGGCGTAAAAAACAAGCCGAGACAAAGCGCGGCTACATTAGTTTACGAACAAATATAAAGAAGGAGGATGGGGGGGGGGAGGCGTTTAACAGGGCAAACAAATTAGTAACCGGGACCTTCAAGTCCGATCCATACACCGGGGGTTTTCTAGAGGCGGGCTTCTCCATAGACGAACCGCGCAATCTGGAAACTCGCAAGCAGTCGAGCCGTGGCTTCGAGTGTCTCCCAAGTGTCGAGCGGCCACGGAACTCCCCCCCCCACCTCCCCCGCATGGCACGCAACGCGACAACTCCCTCCATGGAAGTCCAAATCCGCACCCCGCCAGACTCCACACGCGGCGGACATCGCGGGCAGGTGTTCACATCTCACTCGAGATTTCACGGACTGTCGGCGTAAGGCACTACCACGAGAGTACGAGGTTGCCCCCCAGCCTCAATGTTCAATTAGCGTGCCCTTCATTTCTGAAGTTCGTCACGGTGGCTAGGAGATGTTAACTACCTCGCTGGGTATGCAGGGGGTCGTGGGTTCGATCCCGACCCCGACGGCCTGGCTGCTGCTGTATATCTGGAGTTCGTGTGTGTCTGTCTCCCCGTGGTCGCGCAGCTTTTTATTCGGTTCCTCCGGTTCCCCCCCCGCCGCCCCTCCTCCACATTTCGAATCAACATTCGTTTAAGAGCATTGGGCTGCTACAAACATGTCCACGTGGTTGAGCTGCAATTCGCGATAGCCAGGTCGCTTCCGAAAAAAAAGAGAGCTACGTAGCTCAGTGGGGCCTTACGTGGGTAAAACAAAAATAATAAAATAATAAAATTAAATAACACAATAAAATTCTCACGACGTTTCGGCCACAACACGACAGAGCTTCAATGAAGCTGCAACTAAGCTCTGTCGTCCCGACAGGTCTGTTCCTTTCACCTGAAGAAGGCCACTTGTGTTGTGGCCGAAACGTCGTGAGGATTTTATTGTGCCATTTTATTTTATTATTTTATTATTTTATTCTCATTCTAAATGACTTTACCGAAAGAACCAAAGAAGATGAATCCTTGCAGTCACGAAAGCTTTAAATCGAAAAATAAAACAAAAATAGTTTAAATTTTGATTTAAAGCTTTCGTGACTGCAGTAATTCATATTCTTAGTTTTTTCGGTAAAGTCACGTTGAAGAGAAACAACAAAATAATAAAATATATATAAAATAAAAAATTCTCACGACGTTTCGACCATAACTTAAACGGTCGTCTTTAGGTGTGTTGGTTCGCATAAATTTATTTTTAAACGGCGCATTTATTTATTTATTTAATTTCTTTTGTCTCCCCCCTCCTCTTTTCAGAATATAGATGGACTAGTCCTGGGCAAACTGCCAAATCGTTGCGCGTGGCGCTAACGTTTTTTATAAATAAATAAATGCGCCGTTTAAAAATAAATTTATGCGAACCAACACACCTGAAGACGACCGTTTGAGTTATGGTCGAAACGTCGTGAGAAATTTTTTTTATTGTTTTATATATATTTTTTATTATTTTGTTGTTTCTCTTCAACGTGACTTTACCGAAAAAACTAAGAATAAAAATAGTTTAGTTTCGTTTAAGTCCTACTGAAGACGTTTACATCGATCTATCGAACATGAGATGCGGTGGGGCTCACCGTTGTCGTCAGCGTAGGGGTTGTGTTTTTTTTTCGTTCGTCAAGCGAGATGAGACGGCGGCTCCTGCGGGCAGTGCCAAAACAAATCCTGGAAACTGCGGCTGAAATTAAAGCGATGGGGTTTTTTTTATTTTCACAGGCAGAAGAGACGCACGGGCGGACGGGTCTTTGCCACCTGATTGACGCACACGGCGCGCGTATAGAGAACGCGCAACGGGGCACTGCCGGTCGAGGGCTTCTCACCACCCAAAAAAACCTGCAGCTCTCTAGCGAAGTGCTATGCATTGGGGGGGGGGGGGAGGAATTCTCACGTGGGCAATTCTGACCCTCCCCTCCCCCCATTAGTTAAACAGGCAATTCTGGCCCTCCCCTCCCCCCCTTAGTTAAACAGGCAATTAACCAATTTGGGACACTTAAGCCCAGACACAACAGCAGCTGTGGGCGAGAATTCGCGTGGCTTTCGTGTTCGTCGTCCCGTTCATTAGCGAGTGGATCGGGGTGGTGGTGGTGGTGGTGATGAGAGATGCAGATGCGTTACCGTATTCTGTGGAGTTGAGAAGGCGACTGAACGTTAAGGGCCCACGCACCTTAAAACTTGTGCCCGGTGTGAATTAAGTTAGACAAATCTGATCTCTTTCTCTCTCACACACACACCTACCGTATTAAAAGACGTACCCCCAACTGTTGTTTAATATTACAGGGGTGAGGGGTTAATGGGGAGGCGGGTAGGTGCGTCGTATAATCCAAAGAATACGGTAATTGTCACACGCCGACGAGCCCACGGATTTCCATTGTTCAGAGATCGCGATTCGAACGCCCGTGGATAACGCGGCAGCTGCGGTGATGACTCAATTACATCGCGCGAGCAATCATGGGCAATCATGAGGGCGGCCGTGTTGCGAAATGTGTTTCCCCGAATTGGAAGAGCCGCGTTAGAGCGAAAACGTGTTGTGTGAACACGCATTAAACGAGGGTTTACCGTAGAATCACTGTCTACCATCACCACCCTCTCTCATCATCATCATCACCACCCTCTATTCATCATCATCACCCTCTCATTATGATCATCATCACCACCTTCTCATCATCACCACCACCACCCTCTCATTATCATCACCCTATCATCATCACCTTATCATCATCATCATCATAACCACCCTCTTATAATCACCACATGTTGTACATGCCGGGTCTTGAAAAATGAATATAAAATAATAACAATGAAATAAAAATGCAGAAATGCGAATTATCCGAATGTATGCTAATTTCTGTAGTTATGCTAATTACAAAGGTGTAATTGTATTAAGTTATGTAAATGCATGTGCTTATGCTAATACATTCCGTTATGATAATTGGCTCTGCCTCATTGTCTAGGGTCGTATTATCAATCGGGATGATACAATACATTGTATGACGTTATGCAGGTGTGATGTAAGTATGCTAAATTACACTCGGCTTCGTTTCCTAGGGTCGTATTATCGATCGGGATAATACAATTATTCTCGCTTTAATATTTACTGATTGTGTCTTAGTGTTTTATGTCAGGTCTCCAAATTCAAATCTCACCGCAGGATACAGTTCTTATAATTAAGATTATTACGTATGAACTTAGGAACGCACCACTCAGACACTTCTGTGTTAAGCAACTTTAACTTCTAAACAAAAACATAACACTCTAATATGCGAACTCTTATGCTTGGAATTGTCAACATAGTAATCCTGGAGATATTCTCCTCATCGATGCGTACATTTAACCCTCAATGATTACGTTGTTCAACTGGGTAACAGAACAATCGATTATTCCTCAGAGTACGCGAGCAAACACGGCGATAGGAAAACGTCCTTAACAATTAATGCGACGATATTCATACGAATGGTAATAAAGAAACATGTCCCGAAGGCAAAAGTATATGGCAATGAATTCATTGGCAAGATTATGTAATTAATGAAATGTCTTGGAACAATGGTGTGCGGCAGTGTGCCTGCTTCAGCAAATGCTTATCAATTGGCTAAGGCTTCAATAAATTCGCGGGCAAGATTCTGTGATCAAAATAAAAATTTCAACACAATATTCTCCCTGAGTGTGTAGATTAGTAACGTAGGTTACTAAACGCTTAGTTTTCATCAATGGATTCATTGGTAATATTTATGCAATTAAAATAAAAATAACGACTAAAATACTTCTAAACGACCGTGTCTACGTACCTCAATGGGCAGCAGTGTTCTTCGTTATCAGCTAATAGTTGACGCACTTTATCATTAGCCTTATTATTAGTTGGGGTATGAGCTTATGTGTGTGGTGGTTTGTCTCCTTGATCAATTCTTTGCGTTAAGCAGACGCCAGGCGACGCGTTGTAGTGTGTGAGTGTGGCCGTGTCATACGAACAGCTTCCTCGCTCTCCCTCTTTCTCACGGGCGGCTGGTCGGGCTCTTTCCTCTGCTGAATGAGCTAAGTCGGCACAACGCTTGTCTTTGAAGGTGTCGTGGCGCTCGCCGCTTGTCCGCTGGCAGCTGACACCTCTCGTCACTGCTGGATGAGCTGAGTCGCTACGACGCTTGTCTTGATGGTGCTCAATGGCACTCGCCGCTTGTCCACTGGCAGCTGACACCTCTCGTCACTGCTGGATGAGCTGAGTCGGCACAACGCTTGTCTTGATGGTGCTCAATGGGGCTCACCGCTTGTCCGCTGGCAGCTGACACCTCTCGTCACTGCTGGATGAGCTGAGTCGGTACGACGCTTGTCTTGATGGTGCTCAATGGGGCTCGCCGCTTGTCCGCTGGCAGCTGACACCTCCCGTCACTGCTGGATGAGCTGAGTCGGTACGACGCTTGTCTTGATGGTGCTCAATGGGGCTCGCCGCTTGTCCGCTGGCAGCTGACACCTCTCGTCACTGCTGGATGAGCTGAGTCGCTACGACGCTTGTCTTGATGGTGCTCAATGGGGCTCGCCGCTTGTCCGCTGGCAGCTGACACCTCTCGTCACTGCTGGATCAGCTGAGTCGGTACGACGCTTGTCTTGATGGTGCTCAAAGGGGCTCGCCTCTTGTCCGCTGGCAGCTGACACCTCTCGTCACTGCTGGATGAGCTGAGTCGGTACGATGCTTGTCTTGATGGTGCTCAATGGGGCTCGCCGCTTGTCCGCTGGCAGCTGACACCTCTCGTCACTGCTGGATGAGCTGAGTCGGTACGACGCTTGTCTTGATGGTGCTCAATGGGGCTCACCGCTTGTCCGCTGGCAGCTGACACCTCTCGTCACTGCTGGATGAGCTGAGTCGGTACGACGCTTGTCTTTGAAGGTGCTCGTGGCGCTCGCCGCTTGTCCGCTGGCAGCTGACACCTCTCGTCACTGCTGGATGAGCTGAGTCGGCACGACGCTTGTCTTGATGGTGCTCAATGGGGCTCGCCGCTTGTCCGCTGGCAGCTGACACCTCTCGTCACTGCTGGATGAGCTGAGTCGGTACGACGCTTGTCTTGATGGTGCTCAATGGGGCTCGCCGCTTGTCCGCTGGCAGCTGACCCCCTTACTTGGTGGCGCTGGTGGCGCTGCTGCGTGCTCTCTCCTGCTCCGTGCTCTCTGGCGGTGCACCATCTCTGTTTATTCTCGAGTTATTATTATTATTTTGCTATCCCGAGATTGGAGGTATAACTAAGTTTCAGTTAAGCTTCTTGACTGCTGGAATTCATATTCCTTGGTTTTTGGTGAAGTCACACAGATAGCAAGATATAATAGAAATTAAGGTGAGTAACATTAGTTTTAAAATGATATGTGAGAAGTAATAACCCACGAATGTAGATTGTAGCCTCGTTTTTAATCGGAGTGAGTGTGTGGGTCTATGATGTTCACTTATTCTTGTCGCTAATTTTTTTTAAACTTTTACCGTTGTTAGAAGAAACCAAAAAAAAAGTTAACCAAGCAACCGTTGCCTGTTTCGTCATCCCTCGTCTGGGGAGATTTGTGTCCCCACGCTGTTTTGGGGAATGTGTGTGTGTGTTTGTTCTACTTTTATTGGAGTGATAAGTTGATTCCTCAAGGTCTGGCTCCTTCCTTCGCGGCCGGGTGTGAAAGGCAGCTGCTGTGAGGCCGAGGGTTTCGCATCACCCCCTTTTGCCCCAAGCGACACCGCGATTGATTATGAAAAAAAATATTGGCAGAATTAATCTTAATCTTTTTGGGAAAAGGCCTATATATACAACACACCACCACCCTCTCATCATCGTAATCATCACCACCCTGTCATTATCATCACCACCCTTTCATCATCAGCATCACCATGCACCTCCGATTAGCACAGTTGGCTACGTACGGTGCGAAAGAAGTTCAACATACACACCGGCTTTATCGTCACATTCGCACACAACCGTATACTGTAATCTATGTGTGTGTGTATACACACGTGTAAAGTATATGTGAGTGTTGTGCGTAAATGTATTAAATGTAATATTCAGCAGGTCAGTGTCTATATATGTTTGTGAGGTATTAGCAAATGTAGTGTGTGGTGTATAACCTAGGTATTGTACGTGTGTGTATGTATGTAAAAGCGTACTGTCAATTATATAATGTACAGAATACAAACGTGTACATGAATGTGTATATAATGTAAGTACAATGAGGGGAAAAAGTATTTGACCCCCTGCTGATTTTGTACGTTTGCTCACTGACAAAGAAATGATCAGTCTATAATTTTAATGGTAGGTTTATTTGAACAGTGAGAGACAGAATAACAACAACAAAATGCAGAAAAACGCATGTCAAAAATGTTATAAATTGATTTGCATTTTAATGAGGGAAATAAGTATTTGACCCCCTCTCAATCAGAAAGATGTCTGGCTCCCAGGAAGTCTTTCATACAGGTAACGAGCTGAGATTAGGAGCACACTCTTAAAGGGAGTGCGCCTAATTTCAGCTTGTTACCCGTGTAGTGGTTGAACTTTACACGAACAACTTTTGTCTTTCATCAACCACTTATTTATTTTCATCGTCGAACACGTCCTCCACACTCCACCGTGTCCTGGACACCGCGGCTCGCTCGCCGTGCTTGGCCCGTCTCGCTCCCCACCTTGGTTCACAGTGTCACGTCGCTCTGCTCCGCACACACACACACACCACACACACACGTCTTCAACTCCTCTATCCCTACGCTCTCTCCACTGCTGGCTATCCTCCTCCGCTCCTCCGCTATGCAGCGTCGTCGCACACAGCGAAACCCAATCTCCCTTCTCTGTCTCCGCACACCTCGTCCTCGGCTCCTCTATCACTATGCTCTCTCCACTGCTAACTGCTTCGTCTTGCTTCAGCTTCGCTATCACTATGCTCACTC